TTGTCGGGCACACAGCGGTCGAGAATGGCTATGCTGAGGATGCTGGCTTTGCCATCAACGGTGGCAAGGGATGGTCAGATGTGATCTTTCGCAACCACCAAGTGTATGTTTGTGACAATGTTGCCTTTGCCATGGGCAATTACTTCTTCACGAGCGCTGCAGATGGAAGCAAGACGAAAGTAGAGTACACGTTCGGCTACAAGAAGAATGCGGACAGCAAAGTGCGCATCTTCCTCCACCACTCGTCAGTGCCGTTTGCTTCTCCAACTGCAGAGATTTCTGAAGAGGATGTGAAGAGTGTGCAGGCAGCGTGGGCCTGCGCGATCAAGACTATCTCCAAGACCTACCTGGATGGAGGAGACTACGTTGCAGCTGCCGCCAAAGCAGCTGGTGAGCTTTATGGCTATGGCCACACGGACGTGCTCTTCAAACCCACCAAGGCAGCCGAGGCACCATTTCGGCCAAGTGGCGCCGATGCCATGTCCTACTTTGTTGGGCACAAGGCGGTCGAGAATGGCCATGCTGAGGATGCTGGCTTTGCCATCAATGGTGGCAAGGGGTGGTCGGACGTGGTCTTTGAGAATCACCAAATCGATCTGACTGCTAAAGTTGCCATTGCTATGGGCACCTACTTCTTCACCAGCGCTGCAGATGGGAGCAAGACCAAAGTGGAGTACACCTTCGGCTACAAGAAGAATGCCGATGGCAAGGTGCGCATCTTCCTGCACCACTCCTCAGTGCCATACAGTCTGCCTCCCGCGACTCCAGCTGCAAAGGTTTCTGAAGAGGAAGTGAAGAGTGTGCAGGCAGCATGGGCCACTGCCATCAAGAGTATCTCCAAGACTTACCTTGACGGAGGAGACTACGTTGCAGCTGCTGCCCAAGCAGCTGGTGAGCTGTATGGCTATGGCCACACGGACGTGCTCTTCAAGCCAACCAAGGCAGCCGACGCACCGTTTCGACCGACAGCCGCAGATGCCATGTCGTACTTTGTTGGGCACAAGGCGGTTGAGAATGGCTATGCCGAGGATGCTGGCTTTGCCATCAACGGTGGCAAGGGATGGTCTGACGTGGTGTTCCAGAACCACAAGATCGACGCGAGCGACAGTGTTGCTGTCGCTATGGGCACCTACGTCTTCACCAGTGCTGCAGATGGGAGTGAGACGAAAGTTGAGTACACCTTCGGGTACAAGAGGAATGCAGATGGCAAGGTCCGCATCTGTCTCCACCACTCGTCAGTGCCTTTCAGTCTTCCTCCAAGTTCCCATCTTTCAGAACAGGAAGTGAAGAATGCGCAGACGGCATGGGCCAGTGCTATCAAGAGTATCTCCAAGACTTATCTGAATGGAGGCGACTACGTTGCAGCTGCCGGCAAAGCAGCTGGCGAGCTCTACGGGTACGGCCACACGGACGTGCTCTTCAAGCCAACCAAGGCAGCCGAAGCACCATTTCGACCAAATGCTGCAGATGCCATGTCCTACTTCGTTGGGCATGAAGCGGTCGAGAATGGCCATGCTGAGGATGCTGGCTTCGCCATCAATGGTGGCAAGGGATGGTCGGACGTGGTCTTCCAGAACCACCAAATCGATGTCACGGGCAATACTGCCTTGCCATGGGCACCTACTTCTTCACCAGCGCTGCAGACGGGAGCAAGACCAAGGTGGAGTACACGTTCGGCTACAAGAAGAATGCAGATGGCAAGGTGCGCATCTTCCTCCACCACTCTTCTGTGCCATACAGCATCTCTCCAGCCTCTCCAACTGCAGAGATTACGGAAGCCGAGGTGAAATGTGTGCAGGGAGCATGGGCCAGGGCCATCAAGGGTATCTCCAAGACCTACCTTGACGGAGGCGACTACGTTGCAGCTGCTGCCAAGGCAGCTGGTGAGCTCTATGGCTATGGCCACACAAATGTGCTCTTCAAACCCACCAAGGCAGCCGAAGCACAGTTTCGACCAACTGGCGAAGATGCGATGTCCTACTTTGTCGGGCACAAAGCGGTCGAGAATGGCTATGCTGAGGATGCTGGCTTTGCCATCAACGGTGGAAAGGGATGGTCAGACGTGGTCTTCCAAAACCACAAGATCGATGTCAACGGCACTGTCGCCATTGCCATGGGCACCTACTTCTTCACCAGCGCTGCAGATGGGAGCAAGACCAAAGTTGAGTACACCTTCGGGTACAAGAGGAACGCCGACGGAAAGGTGCGCATCTTCCTGCACCACTCGTCGGTGCCTTACAGTCTGCCTCCTGCCACTCCAACTGAAAAGCTTTCTGAAGAGGAAGTGACAAGTGCACAGGCAGCATGGGCCAGCGCCATCAAGAGTATCTCCAAAACCTACGTTGATGGAGGCGACTACGTTGCAGCTGCCGGCAAAGCAGCTGGCGAGCTCTACGGGTACGGCCACACAAACGTGCTCTTCAAGCCCACCAAGGCAGCTAAGGCACCGTTTCGACCAACCGGCGCAGACGCCATGTCCTACTTTGTTGGGCACAAGGCGGTTGAGAACGGCTATCTTGAGGATGCTGGCTTTGCCATCAATGGTGGAAAAGGATGGTCTGACGTGGTCTTTGAAAACCACAAGATTGACATCACGGACAATGTCGCCATTGCCATGGGCACCTACTTCTTCACCAGCACTGCAGACGGGAGCAAGACCAAAGTGGAGTACACCTTCGGGTACAAGAGGAATGCGGATGGCAAGGTGCGCATCTTCCTCCACCACTCTTCAGTTCCTTACAGCGCTCCCCCACCCTCTGTAGGCGCCGAGGTCTCAGAAGATGAAGTGACAACTGCCCAGGCAGCATGGGCCAACGCTATCACGAGTATCTCCAAGACCTACCTTGACGGAGGCGACTACGTTGCAGCTGCCGGCAAAGCAGCTGGCGAGCTCTACGGGTACGGCCACACGGACGTGCTCTTCAAACCCACCAAGGCAGCAGAGGCACCATTTCGACCGACAGCCGCAGATGCCATGTCCTACTTTGTCGGGCACACAGCCGTCGAGAATGGCTATGCTGAGGATGCTGGCTTTGCCATCAACGGTGGCAAGGGATGGTCGGACGTGGTCTTCCAGAACCACCAAATCGATGTCAGCGGCGATACCGCACTTGCCATGGGCACTTACTTCTTCACCAGCGCTGCAGATGGGAGCAAGACAAGAGTGGAGTACACGTTCGGCTACAAGAAGAATGCGGACGGCAAGGTGCGCATCTTCCTGCACCACTCGTCAGTGCCTTACAGCCTGCCTCCTGCCACTCCCACTGCGAAGATTTCTGAAGAGGAAGTGCAGGGTGTGCAATCAGCATGGGCCAACGCCATCAAGAGTATCTCCAAGACTTACCTTGACGGAGGCGACTACGTTGCAGCTGCTGCCAAGGCAGCTGGCGAGCTGTACGGCTATGGCCACACAAACGTGCTCTTCAAACCCACCAAGGCAGCCGACGCACCATTTCGGCCAAGTGGCGCAGACGCCATGTCCTACTTTGTTGGGCACAAAGCGGTCGAGAATGGCTATGCCGAGGATGCTGGCTTTGCCATCAACGGTGGAAAAGGATGGTCTGACGTGGTTTTTGAAAACCACAAGATTGACATCACCGACAGCGTCGCCGTTGCCATGGGCACCTACTTCTTCACCAGCGCTGCAGATGAGAGCAAGACCAAAGTGGAGTACACCTTCGGGTACAAGAGGAATGCGGACGGCAAGGTGCGCATCTGCCTCCACCACTCCTCAGTGCCATTCACTGACAAGTCAAAGGTGCAGCCTGCAGCGGTGATGGGCCAAGTTTCCGAACGGCTTGTCGGCGCATAGATTGGAACTCTGAGCTTCTCTTGGTCGAACCATAATTCACGAAGTTTTCTTTCCAGACAGGCGGATCTGTATTTTCCTGTGTTTTTCTGCATTTTTCTTGGCCGTGGAGCCTTTATCTGCATTTTTGTCAATGGAATGCTTGCCCAAGAGCAAGGACGAGGGGTGAATGTTTTGCGAGCCAAAGCGGCTGTCAAAGGCCCAAGAGCTCCTGAAATTTGCTTAACCAAGCAGCTAGCAAAGACAAGTTTGCGTGTTGCTTGAAGACCCTGCTTAAACCCTGCGCAAAGAAAGCCGCGCGAAAAGTTGTGTAAAAGTTCAGTGCCGTGGGAGGGCTGGAGTGCAGATTCTTCTGAGCCAAGCCCATCACAGGGAGGTCACAGAGAGTCTTCTGGGGCGTTCCAACGTGCACAGAGCACACACAGCACTAGGGTACGGGGCACTCCAGTAGGCTACATGTTCTCGCCAGAAGGTGCATGACCTGCAAGACTCCCGGGCACAGTGCTCCGGCTTGCCTGGCATCGCGCATCGGCTTACTGGCCGCAGCAGGCCTGCCGTGTTGCTTGACAGTTCATCTTTCGTTTTGCACGAGCACTTTGGTGCAAGAGCAGTGGCCTCCAGACTCTTGATGTCCACAGAGCCTTGGCGGTAAGCCCCAAAGAATGCCAGGAGCGCGCCCACGGGTTTAAGAGTGCCATGGCCTCGGCTTGCAAGAGGTGGATTCCGTAGCCACGTTCCATTCGAAAGCAAGCGTTTGCTTTCAAGATGGTCCGGGATGCGCAGCGAAACTCAAGACATTGCTCTGGATGTTGTCGTTGTTGATTCTGTTGTGGTGCCTCAGATTCACAACAGAATTCTACAGAATCAAAGGGTGAGAACGGCATTGCTCTCCTGTGCTTGGCAAATCTCCATGGCGTGAAGATGTCTTATGTCTTTGAATGCAGCAATCCTGCATGCAGCGCATGTGAAGACGTTTGCGCGGAGATGCGCTGAGGTGTGCAGGCTTGACTTTGCATCCTGATGCCACATACGCAGCACTCTCAGGGGGAATGGAACAGGGCGTGCAGAGTGTATTGTACTTTAGTATACTAGAGTATTGCATGAAGCGAGGACGAAGGGCATATAACTCTGCTGAAATAGCTCGAGTTTCAGCGAAGTCCTACTGCATCGTCCCCAGCAGCCGCAGCCTACGATGGCCGCCTCCGCTGCCACTCCAACTGCAAAGATTTCTGAACAGGAAGTCAAGAATGCGCAGGCAGCGTGGGCCAGCGCCATCAAGAGTATCTCCAAGACCTACCTTGATGGAGGAGACTACGTTGCAGCTGCTGCCCAAGCAGCTGGTGAGCTGTATGGCTACGGCCACACGGACGTGCTCTTCAAACCCACCAAGGCAGCTGACGCACCGTTTCGACCGACAGCCGCAGATGCCATGTCCTACTTTGTCGGGCACACAGCGGTCGAGAATGGCTATGCTGAGGATGCTGGCTTTGCCATCAACGGTGGCAAGGGATGGTCAGATGTGATCTTTCGCAACCACCAAGTGTATGTTTGTGACAATGTTGCCTTTGCCATGGGCAATTACTTCTTCACGAGCGCTGCAGATGGAAGCAAGACGAAAGTAGAGTACACGTTCGGCTACAAGAAGAATGCGGACGGCAAAGTGCGCATCTTCCTCCACCACTCGTCAGTGCCGTTTGCTTCTCCAACTGCAGAGATTTCTGAAGAGGATGTGAAGAGTGTGCAGGCAGCGTGGGCCTGCGCGATCAAGACTATCTCCAAGACCTACCTGGATGGAGGAGACTACGTTGCAGCTGCCGCCAAAGCAGCTGGTGAGCTTTATGGCTATGGCCACACGGACGTGCTCTTCAAACCCACCAAGGCAGCCGAGGCACCATTTCGGCCAAGTGGCGCCGATGCCATGTCCTACTTTGTTGGGCACAAGGCGGTCGAGAATGGCCATGCTGAGGATGCTGGCTTTGCCATCAATGGTGGCAAGGGGTGGTCGGACGTGGTCTTTGAGAATCACCAAATCGATCTGACTGCTAAAGTTGCCATTGCTATGGGCACCTACTTCTTCACCAGCGCTGCAGATGGGAGCAAGACCAAAGTGGAGTACACCTTCGGCTACAAGAAGAATGCCGATGGCAAGGTGCGCATCTTCCTGCACCACTCCTCAGTGCCATACAGTCTGCCTCCCGCGACTCCAGCTGCAAAGGTTTCTGAAGAGGAAGTGAAGAGTGTGCAGGCAGCATGGGCCACTGCCATCAAGAGTATCTCCAAGACTTACCTTGACGGAGGAGACTACGTTGCAGCTGCTGCCCAAGCAGCTGGTGAGCTGTATGGCTATGGCCACACGGACGTGCTCTTCAAGCCAACCAAGGCAGCCGACGCACCGTTTCGACCGACAGCCGCAGATGCCATGTCGTACTTTGTTGGGCACAAGGCGGTTGAGAATGGCTATGCCGAGGATGCTGGCTTTGCCATCAACGGTGGCAAGGGATGGTCTGACGTGGTGTTCCAGAACCACAAGATCGACGCGAGCGACAGTGTTGCTGTCGCTATGGGCACCTACGTCTTCACCAGTGCTGCAGATGGGAGTGAGACGAAAGTTGAGTACACCTTCGGGTACAAGAGGAATGCAGATGGCAAGGTCCGCATCTGTCTCCACCACTCGTCAGTGCCTTTCAGTCTTCCTCCAAGTTCCCATCTTTCAGAACAGGAAGTGAAGAATGCGCAGACGGCATGGGCCAGTGCTATCAAGAGTATCTCCAAGACTTATCTGAATGGAGGCGACTACGTTGCAGCTGCCGGCAAAGCAGCTGGCGAGCTCTACGGGTACGGCCACACGGACGTGCTCTTCAAGCCAACCAAGGCAGCCGAAGCACCATTTCGACCAAATGCTGCAGATGCCATGTCCTACTTCGTTGGGCATGAAGCGGTCGAGAATGGCCATGCTGAGGATGCTGGCTTCGCCATCAATGGTGGCAAGGGATGGTCGGACGTGGTCTTCCAGAACCACCAAATCGGTGTCACGGGCAATACCGCACTTGCCATGGGCACCTACTTCTTCACCAGCGCTGCAGACGGGAGCAAGACCAAGGTGGAGTACACGTTCGGCTACAGGAAGAATGCAGATGGCAAGGTGCGCATCTTCCTCCACCACTCTTCTGTGCCATACAGCATCACTCCAGCCTCTCCAACTGCAGAGATTACGGAAGCAGAGGTGAAATGTGTGCAGGGAGCATGGGCCAGGGCCATCAAGGGTATCTCCAAGACCTACCTTGACGGAGGCGACTACGTTGCAGCTGCTGCCAAGGCAGCTGGTGAGCTCTATGGTTATGGCCACACAAATGTGCTCTTCAAACCCACCAAGGCAGCCGAAGCACAGTTTCGACCAACTGGCGAAGATGCGATGTCCTACTTTGTCGGGCACAAAGCGGTCGAGAATGGCTATGCTGAGGATGCTGGCTTTGCCATCAACGGTGGAAAGGGATGGTCAGACGTGGTCTTCCAAAACCACAAGATCGATGTCAACGGCACTGTCGCCATTGCCATGGGCACCTACTTCTTCACCAGCGCTGCAGATGGGAGCAAGACCAAAGTTGAGTACACCTTCGGGTACAAGAGGAACGCCGACGGAAAGGTGCGCATCTTCCTGCACCACTCGTCGGTGCCTTACAGTCTGCCTCCTGCCACTCCAACTGAAAAGCTTTCTGAAGAGGAAGTGACAAGTGCACAGGCAGCATGGGCCAGCGCCATCAAGAGTATCTCCAAAACCTACGTTGATGGAGGCGACTACGTTGCAGCTGCCGGCAAAGCAGCTGGTGAGCTCTACGGCTATGGCCACACAAACGTGCTCTTCAAGCCCACCAAGGCAGCTAAGGCACCGTTTCGACCAACCGGCGCAGACGCCATGTCCTACTTTGTTGGGCACAAGGCGGTCGAGAATGGCTATCTTGAGGATGCTGGCTTTGCCATCAATGGTGGAAAAGGATGGTCTGACGTGGTCTTTGAAAACCACAAGATTGACATCACGGACAATGTCGCCATTGCCATGGGCACCTACTTCTTCACCAGCACTGCAGACGGGAGCAAGACCAAAGTGGAGTACACCTTCGGGTACAAGAGGAATGCGGATGGCAAGGTGCGCATCTTCCTCCACCACTCTTCAGTTCCTTACAGCGCTCCCCCACCCTCTGTAGGCGCCGAGGTCTCAGAAGATGAAGTGACAACTGCCCAGGCAGCATGGGCCAACGCTATCACGAGTATCTCCAAGACCTACCTTGACGGAGGCGACTACGTTGCAGCTGCCGGCAAAGCAGCTGGCGAGCTCTACGGGTATGGCCACACGGACGTGCTCTTCAAACCCACCAAGGCAGCAGAGGCACCATTTCGACCGACAGCTGCAGATGCCATGTCCTATTTCGTTGGGCACACAGCGGTCGAGAATGGCTATGCTGAGGATGCTGGCTTCGCCATCAATGGTGGCAAGGGATGGTCGGACGTGGTCTTCCAGAACCACCAAATCGATGTCAGCGGCAATACCGCACTTGCCATGGGCACTTACTTCTTCACCAGCGCTGCAGATGGGAGCAAGACAAGAGTGGAGTACACGTTCGGCTACAAGAAGAATGCGGACGGCAAGGTGCGCATCTTCCTGCACCACTCCTCAGTGCCTTACAGCCTGCCTCCTGCCACTCCCACTGCGAAGATTTCTGAAGAGGAAGTGCAGGGTGTGCAATCAGCATGGGCCAACGCCATCAAGAGTATCTCAAAGACTTACCTCGACGGAGGCGACTACGTTGCAGCTGCTGCCAAAGCAGCTGGCGAGCTCTATGGCTATGGCCACACAAATGTGCTCTTCAAGCCAACCAAGGCAGCCGACGCACCATTTCGGCCAACCGGCGCAGATGCCATGTCCTACTTTGTTGGGCACAAGGCGGTCGAGAACGGCTATCTTGAGGATGCTGGCTTTGCCATCAACGGTGGAAAAGGATGGTCTGACGTGGTCTTTGAGAACCACAAGATTGACATCACCGACAGCGTCGCCGTTGCCATGGGCACCTACTTCTTCACCAGCGCTGCAGATGAGAGCAAGACCAAAGTGGAGTACACCTTCGGGTACAAGAGGAATGCGGACGGCAAGGTGCGCATCTGCCTCCACCACTCGTCAGTGCCATTCACTGACAAGTCAAAGGTGCAGCCTGCAACCGCGATGGGCCAAGTTTCCGAACGTCTTGTCGGCGCATAGATTGCAACTCTGGGCTTCTCTTGGTCGAACCAGAATTCACGAAGTTTTCTTTCCAGACAGGTGGATCTGTGTGTTTCCTGTGTTTTTCTGCATTTTTCTTGGCCGTGGAGCCTTTGTCTGCATTTTTGTCAATGGAATGCTTGCCCAAGAGCAAGGACGAGGGGTGAATGTTTTGCGAGCCAAAGCGGCTGTCAAAGGCCCAAGAGCTCCTGAAATTTGCTTAACCAAGCAGCCAGCAAAGACAAGTTTGCGTGTTGCTTGAAGACCCTGCTTAAACCCTGCGCAAAGAAAGCCGCGCGAAAAGTTGTGTAAAAGTTCAGTGCCGTGGGAAGGACCGGAGTGCAGATTCTGAGCCAAGCCCATCACAGCAAGGTCACAGAGAGTCTTCTGGGGCGTTCCAACGTGCACAGAGCACACACGGCACTAGGGCACGGGGCACTCCAGTAGGCTACATGTTCTCCAGTAGGCTACATGTTCTCGCCAGAAGGTGCATGATCTGCAAGACTCCCGGGCACAGTGCTCCGGCTTTGCCTGGCATCGCATCGGCTTACTGGCCGCAGCAGGCCTGCCGTGTTGCTTGACAGTTCATCTTTGGTGTTTTGCACGAGCACTTTGGTGCAAGAGCAGTGGCCTCCAGACTCTTGATGTCCACAGAGCCTTGGCGGCAAGCCCCAAAGAATGCCAGGAGCGCGCTCACGACGGTTTAAGAGTGCCACGACCTCGGCTTGCAAGAGGTGGATTCCGTAGCCACGTTCCATTCGATGGCAAACCCCTTTCGAGCAAGAGTCTGGAAGTACACGTCTATTACTTTGCAGACACCCCCGCCCCTTAGCAAGCATAGGCTGACCCCACACTTCACACTCAATACCCCACGCTTTCACCCCATTTCTCAACCAGCCTAATAATCAAACCTTCCAAGCCGACAAAACACAAAGCAGCCCCAGCAATCTAAGAAATAGTCCATAACGCAAAGCCATCCCCCAAGTCGCGAAGCCTCGCGAGGCGTCTGCCGACGCGCCCAAAAGCCCACAATCAAAGCACAATCCCGAAACACGGAGCACCTAAAAAGTGCTTAAGCTCACCCGTTCTATAACCAATAGCCGGATGAAGCCTGGGATCGCCACCCCAACAGACAACGTTTGTTGAAATTGTAGGACAGTACTCAGTAGACCATGTGAGGCGAGAAAGGCAACAAGAAAAGAACTGCCTTACAATAGTAAGTGGTTTTTCATAGTAGTTCGTATTCATGGCATTCAAAGGACAGGATTATAGCATGTTATAGGCTTAGGGGAGGTTTTCCACCTGTGTTCCGTAGTGCTTCACAGGCGATGCAAGGGCGACCGCGCCGCTTTTTTTCTGGAAGATTTAGGGTTTAGGGTTTAGAGTTTAGGGTTTTAGGGAAGACAAATTCCAACGCTAGCACTTCTGGACGCAACAAGGTGACTTTTTTTCCTTATGCAGCATGGCAAGATAAATTTCTCGCGGGAGCACTTCTGAAAGGAAAACTTGCGGCAACACAGTGGCGACGAGAGCACTTCTGGAAGGAAAGCCTGCCTAACAAAGTGGCAATTTTTTTCCTCATGCGACATGGCCAGATCGATTTCCGCTGCGGGCACTCCTGGAAGGAAAGCGTGCCTATACGACATGGCAAGATCAATTTCTGGTGCGAGCCCTTCTAGAAGGAACGTAGCGCGCGTTTTTTTCCTGGTATGACATGGCAATTTTTTTGTTCCTATTGGCCCTATACGACATGGCAAGATGAGTTTCCGGCGCGGTCACTGCTGGAAGGAAAGCTTGCTGGAACAAAGTAGCTTTTTTGTTTTCTCCCTATTGGACATGGCAAGATGAATTTCCCCGCGAGCATTTCTGGAAGGAAAGCCCGCCCTAACAAAGTGGCACGTTTCTTATTCTTCATACGACATTGCAAGATAGTTTTCTGGGGCGAGCACTTCCGAAACGAAAAGCCTGCCGTAACAAAGTGGCGCCTTTTTTTCCCTATACGACATTGCAAGATAGATTTCCGGCGCGAGCGCTTCTGGAAGGAAGTCCCGGCGTTTTTTTGAGTTTATAGGCCCCGTACGAATGGCAAGATAGACTTCCGGTGCGAGCACGTCTGGAAGGAAAATCTGCCATAACAAATTGATGTTCTTTTGTCCCTCTATGACATAGCAAGATAAATTTCCGGCGCAAGCACTGTTGGAAGGAACACCTGCGGTAACAAAGTGGCGCTTTGTTTCCCTATAGACCCTATGCGACATTGCAAGATAAATGTCCTGCGCGAGCACTTCTGAAAAAAGGCCTGCCGTAACAAAGTGACGCCTTTTTCCCTATACGACATTGCAAGATAGACTTCCTGCGCGACACTTCTGGAAGGAACTTCCGGCATTGTTCTCCTTATAGGCCCTACAAGTAGACGACATGGCAAGGTAGGCTTCCGGTGCGAGCACTTCTGGAAGGACAACCTGCCGTAACAAAGTGGCGCTTTTGTCTTCCGACATGACATGACAATCATGGCAAGATCGATTTCCGGCGCGAGCACTTCTGGAAGCAAAACCTACGTTCGCAAACTGGTGCTTTTGTTTTCCCATGCGACATGGCGAGATGTCCTTGAATGCAGAAATCCAGCATGGAGGCTATGTGAACTTGTGTGAACATGATCTCGAAAGCGCTGAAGCCCCCCCAAACAGGTCTTCAACTCTTCGAGACCCTTCTTCAAAACAAGTGACGCGCTTTTTGCTTATGGTTGGGATTCTATTCGTAGAAGGATCTTCTGTGTGGAGGTGGTGGTGGTGGTGGTGGTGGTGGTGGGCTTGAAGGGAGAGCCAGGTTGTTTCCAGAGGTCGGCATCGCTTTCCTTCCTGCCATTGTCCATTCCTTCACCACCCTAAACCCTAAACCCTAAACCCTAAACCCTAAACCCTAAACCCTAAACCCTAAACCCTAAACCCTAAACCCTAAACCCTAAACCCTAAACCCTAAACCCGAAACCCTTCATCGTTTGAATTCGTGCTACCTCTCAGCTGCGCAGATGCTGCTCTCACTGGAATCTTGCTGTATGGCCTCATATGAAGTAGGGTATATATTTCTTGTACCCCCAAAAGGACACCAGGTATATACACTCACCAATATTAAAAAGGAACCTTATATGCACTCACCAAAAAAGGTAATATAGACCCTGCTTCATATGACCTAAACAAATCCAGGCTCAAAGGAGCTGAGCAAGAGCACGGGCGCAGCAAGAATGAAGGTGTGGCGGAATGCCCTGGAGATATCTGGAGATGGCACGGGCGGCGGAGAGAATCTTTAAGAAGTCAACGGGGCGAAGTATGCCGAAGTATGCCGAAGTATGGCGAAGTATGGCGGAGACTCGGGGATCCAGGAGACCGGTGTCTAGAAGAACGCCCCAGGCAGGTGTTGGCGCGTGTATCCTTGGGGCGAGGACTAGAACATTGGATAATGCCGATACAGACGCCGCTTGCTGCACGCAGTAGCCGCACCCAAAACTGCTGTGTTTTTTCCTTTCGTTTTCGCTGAAGAGCGTTGCGGGCAACATGCAGCATTCCTTCGCGTTTCTGCAGTGCCTGATCCCAGTTGGTGGCATGCTTGGACCGTATTGACACAAAGTCGTTCTCGTGAGAATGTCTCGGAAAATGCCGCCTGCCACTGGTTTTTGTTTTTGACATTGGCTTCGAGGTCTCCGCTGAGAGGCTTTCCCTCTCTTGGGGCGCGGGGGGTCTCATGTGAACACGAGTGAATTGCGGGGATGCCGGGATTTACGATGGCTTCGCAGTCAGGTCACTCATCTTCAGAAGCACCGGCAGGTGGTTTGGTGGCCGGACCATGTCGTCGTGGGCTCAGTACTCTTTTCTCGTCATTTTGTCTGGGCTTCTTTCCACCGGCATGTTCCCAGGGCATTGCATGTCGACAACCATGAGAATCTGTTCGTGCTAGTCCTGCAGTTTGTGTAAGAGGCAAAGAAGAAGAGCAATTTTGCTTCTCTTCTGAAATCGCTGTTGCGCACCTTAGTTGGCCAGTGCTCAAGTTTCATCGACGTCGTGCCTGAAGCAATGCAGAAGTACTACATCAAGCAGCCAGACGGGACGCTTACGTCCCACTACCTGGCTGCGCCCGGCGCCGCGCCCGCGCCCGGCGCTGCGCCTGCGCCCCGGGCTGCGCCCGGCGCTCTGCCCGGCCCTGCAGCTTTGCGAACGGGGCAGCCTGCTTCCATCAGAGCAGCTGTGGTGCCTGGTCAGACGGCAGCGATGGCGCCTGGCAAGACCGCAGCTGCAGTGCCTGGCAAGATGCGCATCTCCCCGCACCACTCGTCAGTGCCATACACCGTCCCTCCAGGCCGTCCAGCTGCGGTTGGTCCGCCAGCCACTCCAACTGCAAAGATTTCCGACGAGGACGTGAAGAAAGCGCAGGCAGCCTGGGCCAGTGCAATCAAGGGCATCTCCAAGACATACCTTGATGGAGGAGACTATGTCGCCGCTGCTGCCAAAGCAGCTGGTGAACTCTATGGCTATGGCCACACGGACGTGCTCTTCAAGCCAACCAAGGCAGCCAAAGCACCATTTCGACCAACTGCTGCGGATGCCATGTCTTACTTTGTTGGGCATGAGGCTGTCGAGAATGGCTATCTTGAGGATGCTGGCTTTGCCATCAACGGTGGCAAGGGATGGTCAGACGTGGTCTTTCGCAACCACCAGGTGGATGTTTGCGGCAATGTTGCCATTGCCATGGGCAATTACTTTTTCACGAGCGCTGCAGATGGAAGCAAGACCAAAGTGGAGTACACGTTCGGCTACAAGAAGAATGCCGACGGCAAGGTGCGCATCTTCCTCCACCACTCGTCAGTGCCGTTTGCTTCTCCAACTGCCGAGATTTCCGCAGAGGAAGTGCAGAATGCGCAGGCAGCATGGGCCAGCGCCATCAAGAGCATCTCCAAGACCTACCTTGATGGAGGCGACTACGTTGCAGCTGCCGCCAAAGCAGCTGGTGAGCTCTATGGCTACGGCCACACAGACGTGCTCTTCAAGCCCACTAAGGCAGCCGAAGCACCCTTTCGACCAACCGGCGCAGATGCCATGTCTTACTTTGTAGGGCACAAGGCGGTCGAGAATGGCTATGTCGAGGATGCCGGCTTTGCCATCAATGGTGGCAAGGGATGGTCGGACGTGGTCTTCGAGAATCACCAGATCGATCTGACTGCTAAGGTTGCCATTGCCATGGGCACCTACTTCTTCACCAGCGCCGCAGATGGGAGCAAGACCAAAGTTGAGTACACCTTCGGTTACAAGAAGAATGCCGACGGCAAGGTTCGAATCTTCCTCCACCACTCGTCAGTGCCTTACACTCTGCCCCCTGCCACTCCAACTGCGAAGATTTCCGAAGAGGACGTGAAGAGTGTGCAGTCAGCATGGGCCAATGCCATTAAGAGCATCTCCAAGACCTACCTTGATGGAGGAGACTACGTTGCCGCTGCTGCCAAAGCAGCTGGTGAGCTCTATGGCTATGGCCACACGGACGTGCTCTTCAAGCCCACTAAGGCAGCCGAAGCACCATTTCGACCGACAGCTGCAGATGCCATGTCTTACTTCGTTGGGCACAAAGCGGTCGAGAATGGCTATCTTGAGGATGCTGGCTTTGCCATCAACGGCGGAAAGGGATGGTCAGACGTGGCGTTCCAGAACCACAAAATCAACGTCAGCGGCAATGTTGCCGTTGCTATGGGTACGTACGTCTTCACCAGTGCTGCAAATGGAAGCAAGACAACAGTTGAGTACACCTTCGGCTACAAGAGGAATGCGGATGACAAGGTGCGCATCTGCCTCCACCACTCGTCAGTGCCTTTCAGCCTTCCTCCAACTTCCCATCTTTCAGCACAAGAAGTCAAGAATGCGCAGACAGCATGGGCCTGCGCTATCAAGAGTATCTCCCAAACCTACCTCGATGGAGGAGACTACGTTGCAGCTGCCGCCAGAGCAGCTGGTGAGCTGTACGGCTACGGCCACACGGACGTGCTCTTCAAGCCAACCAAGGCAGCCGACGCACCATTTCGACCAACTGCTGAAGATGCCATGTCCTACTTTGTTGGGCATGAATCTGTCGAGAATGGCCATGCTGAGGATGCTGGCTTTGCCATCAATGGTGGCAAGGGATGGTCTGATGTGGTTTTTGACAACCACAAGATTGATATCACTGGCAACACCGCCCTTGCCATGGGCACCTACTTCTTCACCAGCGCTGCAGATGGGAGCAAGACCAAGGTGGAGTACACGTTCGGCTACAGGAAGAATGCGGACGGCAAGGTGCGCATCTGCCTCCACCACTCGTCGGTGCCATACAGCATAACCCCAGCCTCTCCAATTGCCGAGATTACTGAAGCGGAAGTGAAATGTGTGCAGGGAGCATGGGCCAGGGCTATCAAGGGTATCTCTCAGACCTACCTTGAAGGAGGCGACTATGTCACTGCTGCTGCAAGAGCAGCTGGTGAGCTCTATGGCTATGGCCACACAAACGTGCTCTTCAAGCCAACCAAGGCAGCCGCAAAGCAGTTTCGACCAACCGGCGCAGATGCCATGTCTTACTTTGTTGGGCACAAAGCGGTCGAGAATGGCTATGCTGAGGACGCTGGCTTTGCCATCAACGGTGGCAAGGGATGGTCTGACGTGGTGTTCCAGAACCACAAGATTGATGTCAATGGCACTGTCGCCATTGCCATGGGCACCTACTTTTTCACCAGCGCTGCAGATGGAAGCAAGACCACAGTTGAGTACACCTTCGGCTACAAGAGGAACGCCGATGGCAAGGTGCGCATCTTCCTCCACCACTCGTCAGTGCCGTATAGTCTGCCTCCCACCGTTCCAACTGCGGATATTGCCGAAGAGGAAGTGGAGAGTGTGCAGGCAGCATGGGCCAGTGCCATCAAGAGTATCTCCAAGACCTACCTTGATGGAGGAGACTACGTGGCAGCTGCTGCCAAAGCAGCTGGTGAGCTCTACGGCTATGGCCACACAAATGTGCTCTTCAAGCCCACCAAAGCATCTAAGGCACCGTTTCGACCAACCGGCGCAGATGCCATGTCTTACTTTGTTGGACACAAAGCTGTCGAGAATGGGTATGTTGAGGATGCTGGCTTTGCCATCAACGGTGGAAAAGGATGGTCTGACGTCGTTTTTGACAACCACAAGATTGACATCACTGGCAATGTCGCCATTGCCATGGGCACCTACTTCTTCACCAGCGCTGCAGGCGGGAGCAAGACCAAAGTTGAGTACACCTTTGGCTACAAGAAGAATGCGGACGGCAAGGTGCGCATCTTCCTCCACCACTCTTCTGTGCCTTACAGCCCTGCCCAAGCCTCTGCAACTACAGAGGTTTCAGAAGATGCAGTAGCAACTGCCCAGGCAGCATGGGCTAACGCTATCAAGAGCATCTCCAAGACCTACCTTGATGGAGGCGACTATGTTGCAGCTGCCGCCAAAGCAGCTGGTGAGCTCTATGGCTATGGGCACACAGATGTGCTCTTCAAACCCACCAAGGCAGCCGAAGCACCATTTCGACCAAATGCTGCAGATGCCATGTCTTACTTTGTTGGGCACAAAGCGGTCGAGAATGGCTATGCCGAGGACGCTGGCTTTGCCATCAATGGCGGCAAAGGATGGTCTGACGTGGTGTTCCAGAACCACCAAATCGACGTCAGCGGCAATGTTGCCATTGCCATGGGCACCTACTTCTTCACCAGTGCTGCAGACGGGAGCAAGACAAAAGTTGAGTACACCTTCGGCTACAAGAGGAACGCCGATGGCAAGGTGCGCATCTTCCTCCACCACTCGTCGGTGCCCTATAGTCTGCCTCCCACCACCTCAACAGCAAAGGTTTCTGAAGAGCAAGTGAAGAGTGTGCAGGCAGCATGGGCCAGCGCCATCAAGAGCATCTCCAAGACCTACCTTGGTGGAGGAGACTACGTTGCAGCTGCTGCCAAAGCAGCTGGTGAGCTCTATGGCTATGGCCACACAAATGTGCTCTTCAAGCCCACCAAGGCAGCCGAAGCACCATTTCGACCGACTGGCGCAGATGCCATGTCCTACTTTGTTGGACATAAAGCTGTCGAGAATGGGTATGTTGAGGATGCTGGCTTTGCCATCAACGGTGGCAAGGGATGGTCGGACGTGGTTTTCCAGAACCACAAAATCGACGTCAGCGGCGACGTTGCCCTTGCCATGGGCACCTACTTCTTCACCAGCGCTGCGGATGGGAGCAAGACCAAGGTTGAGTACACCTTCGGCTACAAGAAGAATGCGGACGGCAAGGTGCGCATCTGCCTCCACCACTCGACAGTGCCATACGCTGACAAAGCGAAGGTGCAGCCTGCAACGGTGATGGGCCAAGTTTCCGAGCGGCTTGTCGGCGCATAGATTGGAACTCTGAGCTTTTGGTCGATGTTTTAACTTCGCATCTTCCTTGCAGCCGGACGGTCAGTGCAAGCTCTGGCCTGGTCTGGTCTGTGCCATTTTCTGCTTTTTTCTTGGCAGTGAAGCCGCACAATTTTCTTAAGGAACTTAATTCGACACTTGCCCAAGAGCGAGGACGAGGGGTGAACGTTTGCAGCGAGCCAAAGAGGCTACGGCCCGGAGCTCCTCAAGCAGCGCAGCTTTGCACAAAGCTTGCGGCGCAAACACAGATGCCGTGAACGGCTGAGTAAAAAGCCGAGTAAACGTTCAGTGCGTTCGGCAGTGCAGCTTCAATCTCAGCCGACCCCCACCACAGAGAGGTCACAGAGTGTCACAGAGACTCGCTGGAAGCTCTCGAGGTCTGCTGAGTCGCCTGCTTGGTGCTGATGGGCTCCATCTGAGGCGGGCGGGGCACCAAGGATGCCCAAGCGAACATGCTTGTTGCAACATGCAGCATTCCTTCGCGTTAAATGCCGCCTGCCACTGGTTTTTGTTTTTTGACTTTGGCTTCGAGGTCTCCGCTGAGAGGCTTTCCCTCTCTTGGCGAGCGCGGGACTGAATCAAACGCAGTGTTACCGCGCCACGCCTCGCGTATGTCTCCAGCTCCACGTCGATTTGTTCTCACTTTTTTCCTGGTGACTGGCGCAGAGTGGGTATGTGAACACGAGTGAATTGCGGGGACGCCGGGATTCACGATGGGTTTGCAGTCAGGTCACTCATCTTCAGAAGCGCCGGCAGGTGGTTTGGTGGCCGGACCATGTCGTCGTGGGCTCAGTACTCTTTTCTCGTGTTAGCTGCTGAAATGGGCCTTGGTAACATCGTCATTTTCTTTGGGCTTCTTTCCACCGGCATGTTCCCAGGGCATGGCATGTCGACAACCATGAGAATCTGTTCGTGCTAGTCCTGCAGTTTGTGTAAGAGGAAAAGAAGAAGAGCAATTTTGCTTCTCTTCTGAAATAGCTGCTGCGCACCTTAGTTGGCCAGTGCTCAAGTTTCATCGACGTCGTGCCTGAAGCAATGCAGAAGTACTACATCAAGCAGCCTGACGGGACGCTTACGTCCCACTACGGGCCCGCGCCCGGCGCTGCGCCCGCGCCCGGCGCTGCGCCTGCGCCCCGGGCTGCGCCCGGCGCTCTGCCTGGCCCTGCAGCCTTGCGAACGGGGCAGCCTGCTTCCATCAGAGCAGCTGTGGTGCCTGGTCAGACGGCAGCGATGGCGCCTGGCAAGACCGCAGCTGCAGTGCCTGGCAAGATGCGCATCTCCCCGCACCACTCGTCAGTGCCATACACCGTCCCTCCAGGCCGTCCAGCTGCGGTTGGTCCGCCAGCCACTCCAACTGCAAAGATTTCCGACGAGGACGTGAAGAAAGCGCAGACAGCCTGGGCCAGTGCAATCAAGGGCATCTCCAAGACATACCTGGATGGAGGAGACTATGTCGCCGCTGCTGCCAAAGCAGCTGGTGAACTCTATGGCTATGGCCACACGGACGTGCTCTTCAAGCCAACCAAGGCAGCCAAAGCACCATTTCGACCAACTGCTGCAGATGCCATGTCTTACTTTGTTGGGCATGAGGCGGTCGAGAATGGCTATGCCGAGGACGCGGGCTTTGCCATCAACGGTGGCAAGGGATGGTCAGACGTGGTCTTTCGCAACCACCAGGTGGATGTTTGCGGCAATGTTGCCATTGCCATGGGCAATTACTTCTTCACGAGCGCTGCAGACGGGAGCAAGACCAAAGTGGAGTACACGTTCGGCTACAAGAAGAATGCCGACGGCAAGGTGCGCATCTTCCTCCACCACTCGTCAGTGCCGTTTGCTTCTCCAACTGCCGAGATCTCCGCAGAAGAAGTGCAGAATGCGCAGGCAGCATGGGCCAGCGCCATCAAGAGCATCTCCAAGACCTACCTTGATGGAGGCGACTATGTTGCAGCTGCCGCCAAAGCGGCTGGTGAGCTCTACGGCTATGGCCACACAGACGTGCTCTTCAAGCCCACTAAGGCAGCCGAAGCACCCTTTCGACCAACCGGCCCAGATGCCATGTCCTACTTTGTAGGGCACAAGGCGGTCGAGAATGGCTATGCCGAGGACGCCGGCTTTGCCATCAATGGTGGCAAGGGATGGTCGGACGTGGTCTTCGAGAATCACCAAATCGATCTGACTGCTAAGGTTGCCATTGCCATGGGCACCTACTTCTTCACCAGCGCCGCAGATGGGAGCAAGACCAAAGTTGAGTACACCTTCGGTTACAAGAAGAATGCCGATGGCAAGGTTCGAATCTTCCTCCACCACTCGTCAGTGCCTTACACTCTGCCCCCTGCCACTCCAACTGCGAAGATTTCCGAAGAGGACGTGAAGAGTGTGCAGTCAGCATGGGCCAATGCCATTAAGAGCATCTCCAAGACCTACCTTGATGGAGGAGACTACGTTGCCGCTGCTGCCAAAGCAGCTGGTGAGCTCTATGGCTATGGCCACACGGACGTGCTCTTCAAGCCCACTAAGGCAGCCGAAGCACCATTTCGACCGACAGCTGCAGATGCCATGTCTTACTTCGTTGGGCACAAAGCGGTCGAGAATGGCTATCTTGAGGATGCTGGCTTTGCCATCAACGGCGGAAAGGGATGGTCAGACGTGGCGTTCCAGAACCACAAAATCGACGTCAGCGGCAATGTTGCCGTTGCTATGGGTACGTACGTCTTCACCAGTGCTGCAGATGGAAGCAAGACAACAGTTGAGTACACCTTCGGCTACAAGAGGAATGCGGATGACAAGGTGCGCATCTGCCTCCACCACTCGTCAGTGCCTTTCAGCCTTCCTCCAACTTCCCATCTTTCAGCACAAGAAGTCAAGAATGCGCAGACAGCATGGGCCTGCGCTATCAAGAGTATCTCCCAAACCTACCTCGATGGAGGAGACTACGTTGCAGCTGCCGCCAAAGCAGCTGGTGAGCTGTACGGCTACGGCCACACGGACGTGCTCTTCAAGCCAACCAAGGCAGCCGACGCACCATTTCGACCAACTGCTGAAGATGCCATGTCCTACTTTGTTGGGCATGAATCTGTCGAGAATGGGTATGTTGAGGATGCTGGCTTTGCCATCAATGGTGGCAAGGGATGGTCTGATGTGGTTTTTGACAACCACAAGATTGATATCACTGGCAATACCGCCCTTGCCATGGGCACCTACTTCTTCACCAGCGCTGCAGATGGGAGCAAGACCAAGGTGGAGTACACGTTCGGCTACAGGAAGAATGCGGACGGCAAGGTGCGCATCTGCCTCCACCACTCGTCGGTGCCATACAGCATAACCCCAGCCTCTCCAATTGCCGAGATTACTGAAGCGGAAGTGAAATGTGTGCAGGGAGCATGGGCCAGGGCTATCAAGGGTATCTCTCAGACCTACCTTGAAGGAGGCGACTATGTCACTGCTGCTGCAAGAGCAGCTGGTGAGCTCTATGGCTATGGCCACACAAACGTGCTCTTCAAGCCAACCAAGGCAGCCGCAAAGCAGTTTCGACCAACCGGTGCAGATGCCATGTCTTACTTTGTTGGGCACAAAGCGGTCGAGAATGGCTATGCTGAGGACGCTGGCTTTGCCATCAACGGTGGCAAGGGATGGTCTGACGTGGTGTTCCAGAACCACAAGATTGATGTCAATGGCACTGTCGCCATTGCCATGGGCACCTACTTTTTCACCAGCGCTGCAGATGGAAGCAAGACCACAGTTGAGTACACCTTCGGCTACAAGAGGAACGCCGATGGCAAGGTGCGCATCTTCCTCCACCACTCGTCAGTGCCGTATAGTCTGCCTCCCACCGCTTCCAACTGCGGATATTGCCGAAGAGGAAGTGGAGAGTGTGCAGGCAGCATGGGCCACTGCCATCAAGAGTATCTCCAAGACCTACCTTGATGGAGGAGACTACGTGGCAGCTGCTGCCAAAGCAGCTGGTGAGCTCTACGGCTATGGCCACACAAATGTGCTCTTCAAGCCCACCAAAGCATCTAAGGCACCGTTTCGACCAACCGGCGCAGATGCCATGTCTTACTTTGTTGGACACAAAGCTGTCGAGAATGGGTATGTTGAGGATGCTGGCTTTGCCATCAACGGTGGAAATGGATGGTCTGACGTCGTTTTTGACAACCACAAGATTGACATCACTGGCAATGTCGCCATTGCCATGGGCACCTACTTCTTCACCAGCGCTGCAGACGGGAGCAAGACCAAAGTTGAGTACACCTTTGGCTACAAGAAGAATGCCGACGGCAAGGTGCGCATCTTCCTCCACCACTCTTCTGTGCCTTACAGCCCTGCCCAAGTCTCTGCAACTACCGAGGTTTCAGAAGATGCAGTAGCAACTGCCCAGGCAGCATGGGCTAGCGCTATCAAGAGCATCTCCAAGACCTACCTTGATGGAGGCGACTATGTTGCAGCTGCCGCCAAAGCAGCTGGTGAGCTCTATGGCTATGGGCACACAGATGTGCTCTTCAAACCCACCAAGGCAGCCGAAGCACCATTTCGACCAACCGGCGCAGATGCCATGTCTTACTTTGTTGGGCACAAAGCGGTCGAGAATGGCTATGCCGAGGACGCTGGCTTTGCCATCAATGGCGGCAAAGGATGGTCTGACGTGGTGTTCCACAACCACCAAATCGACGTCAGCGGCAATGTCGCCATGGCCATGGGCACCTACTTCTTCACCAGCGCTGCAGATGGGAGCAAGACAAAAGTTGAGTACACCTTTGGCTACAAGAGGAACGCCGATGGCAAGGTGCGCATCTTCCTGCACCACTCGTCGGTGCCCTATAGTCTGCCTCCCACCGCCTCAACAGCAAAGGTTTCTGAAGAGCAAGTGAAGAGTGTGCAGGCAGCATGGGCCAGCGCCATCAAGAGCATCTCCAAGACCTACCTTGGTGGAGGAGACTACGTTGCAGCTGCTGCCAAAGCAGCTGGCGAGCTCTACGGCTATGGCCACACAAATGTGCTCTTCAAGCCCACCAAGGCAGCCGACGCACCATTTCGACCAACCGGCGCAGATGCCATGTCTTACTTTGTTGGACATAAAGCTGTCGAGAATGGGTATGTTGAGGATGCTGGCTTTGCCATCAACGGTGGCAAGGGATGGTCGGACGTGGTTTTCCAGAACCACAAAATCGATGTCAGCGGCGACGTTGCCCTTGCCATGGGCACCTACTTCTTCACCAGCGCTGCAGATGGGAGCAAGACCAAGGTTGAGTACACCTTCGGCTACAAGAAGAATGCGGACGGCAAGGTGCGCATCTGCCTCCACCACTCGTCAGTGCCATTCGCTGACAAAGCGAAGGTGCAGCCTGCAACGGTGATGGGCCAAGTTTCCGAACGGCTTGTCGGCGCATAGATTGGAACTCTGAGCTTTTGGTCGATGTTTTAACTTCGCATCTTCCTTGCAGCCGGACGGTCAGTGCAAGCTCGGGCCTGGTCTGGTCTGTGCCATTTTCTGCTTTTTTCTTGGCAGTGAAGCCGCACAATTTTCTTAAGGAACTTAATTCGACACTTGCCCAAGAGCGAGGACGAGGGGTGAACGTTTGCAGCGAGCCAAAGAGGCTAAGGCCCGGAGCTCCTCAAGCAGCGCAGCTTTGCACAAAGCTTGCGGCGCAAACACAGATGCCGTGAACGGCTGAGTAAAAAGCCGAGTAAACGTTCAGTGCGTTCGGCAGTGCAGCTTCAATCTCAGCCGACCCCCACCACAGAGAGGTCACAGAGTGTCACAGAGACTCGCTGGAAGCTCTCGAGGTCTGCTGAGTCGCCTGCTTGGTGCTGATGGGCTCCATCTGAGGCGGGCGGGGCACCAAGGATGCCCAAGCGAACATGCTTGTTGCAACATGCAGCATTCCTTCGTGTTAAATGCCGCCTGCCACTGGTTTTTGTTTTTTGACTTTGGCTTCGAGGTCTCCGCTGAGAGGCTTTCCCTCTCTTGGCGAGCGCGGGACTGAATCAAACGCAGTGTTACCGCGCCACGCCTCGCGTATGTCTCCAGCTCCACGTCGATTTGTTCTCACTTTTTCCTGGTGACGGGCGCAGAGTGGGTATGTGAACACGAGTGAATTGCGGGGACGCCGGGATTCACGATGGGTTTGCAGTCAGGTCACTCATCTTGAGAAGCACCGGTGGCCAGACCATGTCGTCGTGGGCTCAGTACTCCTTTTCTCGCGTTAGCTGCTGAAATGGGCCTTGGTAACATCGTCATTTTCTTTGGGCTTCTTTCCACCGGCATGTTCCCAGGGCATTGCATTTCGACAACCATGAGAATCTGTTCGTGCTAGTCCTGCAGTTTGTGTAAGAAGCAAAGAAGCAGAGCAATTTTGCTTCTCTTCTGAAATCGCTGTTGCGCACCTTAGTTGACCAGTGCTCAAGTTTCATCGACGTCGTGCCTGAAGCAATGCAGAAGTACTACATCAAGCAGCCTGACGGGACGCTTACGTCCCACTACGGGGCTGCGCCCGGCGCTGCTCCCGCGCCCGGCGCTGCGCCTGCGCCCCGGGCTGCGTCCGGCGCTCTGCCCGGCCCTGCAGCTTTGCGAACGGGGCAGCCTGCTTCCATCAGAGCAGCTGTGGTGCCTGGTCAGACGGCAGCGATGGCGCCTGGCAAGACCGCAGCTGCAGTGCCTGGCAAGATGCGCATCTCCCCGCACCACTCGTCAGTGCCACACACCGTCCCTCCAGGCCGTCCAGCTGCGGTTGGTCCGCCAGCCACTCCAACTGCAAAGATTTCCGACGAGGACGTGAAGAAAGCGCAGGCAGCCTGGGCCAGTGCAATCAAGGGCATCTCCAAGACATACCTTGATGGAGGAGACTATGTCGCCGCTGCTGCCAAAGCAGCTGGTGAGCTCTATGGCTATGGCCACACGGACGTGCTCTTCAAGCCAACCAAAGCAGCCAAAGCACCATTTCGACCAACTGCTGCAGATGCCATGTCTTACTTTGTTGGGCATGAGGCGGTCGAGAATGGCTATGCCGAGGACGCGGGCTTTGCCATCAACGGTGGCAAGGGATGGTCAGACGTGGTCTTTCGCAACCACCAGGTGGATGTTTGCGGCAATGTTGCCATTGCCATGGGCAATTACTTCTTCACGAGCGCTGCAGACGGGAGCAAGACCAAAGTGGAGTACACGTTCGGCTACAAGAAGAATGCCGACGGCAAGGTGCGCATCTTCCTCCACCACTCGTCAGTGCCGTTTACTTCTCCAACTGCCGAGATTTCCGCAGAAGAAGTGCAGAATGCGCAGGCAGAATGGGCCAGCGCCATCAAGAGCATCTCCAAGACCTACCTTGATGGAGGCGACTATGTTGCAGCTGCCGCCAAAGCGGCTGGTGAGCTCTACGGCTACGGCCACACAGACGTGCTCTTCAAGCCCACTAAGGCAGCCGACGCACCATTTCGACCAACCGGCGCAGATGCCATGTCTTATTTTGTAGGGCACAAGGCGGTCGAGAGTGGCTATGCCGAGGACGCCGGCTTTGCCATCAATGGTGGCAAGGGATGGTCGGACGTGGTCTTCGAGAATCACCAAATCGATCTGACTGCTAAGGTTGCCATTGCCATGGGCACCTACTTCTTCACCAGCGCCGCAGATGGGAGCAAGACCAAAGTTGAGTACACCTTCGGTTACAAGAAGAATGCCGATGGCAAGGTTCGAATCTTCCTCCACCACTCGTCAGTGCCTTACACTCTGCCCCCTGCCACTCCAACTGCGAAGATTTCCGAAGAGGACGTGAAGAGTGTGCAGTCAGCATGGGCCAATGCCATTAAGAGCATCTCCAAGACCTACCTTGATGGAGGAGACTACGTTGCCGCTGCTGCCAAAGCAGCTGGTGAGCTCTATGGCTATGGCCACACGGACGTGCTCTTCAAGCCCACTAAGGCAGCCGAAGCACCATTTCGACCGACAGCTGCAGATGCCATGTCTTACTTCGTTGGGCACAAAGCGGTCGAGAATGGCTATCTTGAGGATGCTGGCTTTGCCATCAACGGCGGAAAGGGATGGTCAGACGTGGCGTTCCAGAACCACCAAATCGACGTCAGCGGCAATGTTGCCGTTGCTATGGGTACGTACGTCTTCACCAGTGCTGCAGATGGAAGCAAGACAACAGTTGAGTACACCTTCGGCTACAAGAGGAATGCGGATGACAAGGTGCGCATCTGCCTCCACCACTCGTCAGTGCCTTTCAGCCTTCCTCCAACTTCCCATCTTTCAGCACAAGAAGTCAAGAATGCGCAGACAGCATGGGCCTGCGCTATCAAGAGTATCTCCCAAACCTACCTCGATGGAGGAGACTACGTTGCAGCTGCCGCCAAAGCAGCTGGTGAGCTGTACGGCTACGGCCACACGGACGTGCTCTTCAAGCCAACCAAGGCAGCCGACGCACCATTTCGACCAACTGCTGAAGATGCCATGTCCTACTTTGTTGGGCATGAATCTGTCGAGAATGGCCATGCTGAGGATGCTGGCTTTGCCATCAATGGTGGCAAGGGATGGTCTGATGTGGTTTTTGACAACCACAAGATTGATATCACCGGCAATACCGCCCTTGCCATGGGCACCTACTTCTTCACCAGCGCTGCAGATGGGAGCAAGACCAAGGTGGAGTACACGTTCGGATACAGGAAGAATGCGGACGGCAAGGTGCGCATCTGCCTCCACCACTCGTCGGTGCCCTTCAGCATAACCCCAGCCTCTCCAATTGCCGAGATTACTGAAGCGGAAGTGAAATGTGTGCAGGGAGCATGGGCCAGGGCTATCAAGGGTATCTCTCAGACCTACCTTGAAGGAGGCGACTATGTCACTGCTGCTGCTAGAGCAGCTGGTGAGCTCTATGGCTATGGCCACACAAACGTGCTCTTCAAGCCAACCAAGGCAGCCGCAAAGCAGTTTCGACCGACAGCTGCAGATGCCATGTCTTACTTTGTTGGGCACAAAGCGGTCGAGAATGGCTATGCTGAGGACGCTGGCTTTGCCATCAACGGTGGCAAGGGATGGTCTGACGTGGTGTTCCAGAACCACAAGATCGATGTCAATGGCGCTGTCGCCATTGCCATGGGCACCTACTTTTTCACCAGCGCTGCAGATGGAAGCAAGACCACAGTTGAGTACACCTTCGGCTACAAGAGGAACACCGATGGCAAGGTGCGCATCTTCCTCCACCACTCGTCAGTGCCGTATAGTCTGCCTCCCACCGCTTCAACTGCGGATATTGCCGAAGAGGAAGTGGAGAGTGTGCAGGCAGCATGGGCCAGCGCCATCAAGAGTATCTCCAAGACCTACCTTGACGGAGGAGACTACGTGGCAGCTGCTGCCAAAGCAGCTGGTGAGCTCTACGGCTATGGCCACACAAATGTGCTCTTCAAGCCCACCAAAGCATCTAAGGCACCGTTTCGACCAACCGGCGCAGATGCCATGTCTTACTTTGTTGGACACAAAGCTGTCGAGAATGGGTATGTTGAGGATGCTGGCTTTGCCATCAACGGTGGAAAAGGATGGTCTGACGTCGTTTTTGACAACCACAAGATTGACATCACTGGCAATGTCGCCATTGCCATGGGCACCTACTTCTTCACCAGCGCTGCAGGCGGGAGCAAGACCAAAGTTGAGTACACCTTTGGCTACAAGAAGAATGCGGACGGCAAGGTGCGCATCTTCCTCCACCACTCTTCTGTGCCTTACAGCCCTGCCCAAGCCTCTGCAACTACAGAGGTTTCAGAAGATGCAGTAGCAACTGCCCAGGCAGCATGGGCTAGCGCTATCAAGAGCATCTCCAAGACCTACCTTGATGGAGGCGACTATGTTGCAGCTGCCGCCAAAGCAGCTGGTGAGCTCTATGGCTATGGGCACACAGATGTGCTCTTCAAACCCACCAAGGCAGCCGAAGCACCATTTCGACCAACCGGCGCAGATGCCATGTCTTACTTTGTTGGGCACAAAGCGGTCGAGAATGGCTATGCCGAGGACGCTGGCTTTGCCATCAATGGCGGCAAAGGATGGTCTGACGTGGTGTTCCAGAACCACCAAATCGACGTCAGCGGCAATGTTGCCATTGCCATGGGCACCTACTTCTTCACCAGTGCTGCAGACGGGAGCAAGACAAAAGTTGAGTACACCTTCGGCTACAAGAGGAACGCCGATGGCAAGGTGCGCATCTTCCTCCACCACTCGTCGGTGCCCTATAGTCTGCCTCCCGTCGCCTCAACAGCAAAGGTTTCTGAAGAGCAAGTGAAGAGTGTGCAGGCAGCATGGGCCAGCGCCATCAAGAGCATCTCCAAGACCTACCTTGGTGGAGGAGATTATGTTGCAGCTGCTGCCAAAGCAGCTGGTGAGCTCTATGGCTATGGCCACACAAATGTGCTCTTCAAGCCCACCAAGGCAGCCGAAGCACCATTTCGACCGACTGGCGCAGATGCCATGTCCTACTTTGTTGGGCACAAGGCGGTGGAGAATGGCTATCTTGAGGATGCTGGATTTGCCATCAACGGTGGAAAAGGATGGTCGGACGTGGTGTTCCAGAACCACAAAATCGATGTCAGCGGCGACGTTGCCCTTGCCATGGGCACCTACTTCTTCACCAGCGCTGCAGATGGGAGCAAGACCAAGGTTGAGTACACCTTCGGCTACAAGAAGAATGCGGACGGCAAGGTGCGCATCTGCCTCCACCACTCGTCAGTGCCATTCGCTGACAAAGCGAAGGTGCAGCCTGCAACGGTGATGGGCCAAGTTTCCGAACGGCTTGTCGGCGCATAGATTGGAACTCTGAGCTTTTGGTCGATGTTTTAACTTCGCATCTTCCTTGCAGCCGGACGGTCAGTGCAAGCTCTGGCCTGGTCTGGTCTGTGCCATTTTCTGCTTTTTTCTTGGCAGTGAAGCCGCACAATTTTCTTAAGGAACTTAATTCGACACTTGCCCAAGAGCGAGGACGAGGGGTGAACGTTTGCAGCGAGCCAAAGAGGCTAAGGCCCGGAGCTCCTCAAGCAGCGCAGCTTTGCACAAAGCTTGCGGCGCAAACACAGATGCCGTGAACGGCTGAGTAAAAAGCCGAGTAAACGTTCAGTGCGTTCGGCAGTGCAGCTTCAATCTCAGCCGACCCCCACCACAGAGAGGTCACAGAGTGTCACAGAGACTCGCTGGAAGCTCTCGAGGTCTGCTGAGTCGCCTGCTTGGTGCTGATGGGCTCCATCTGAGGCGGGCGGGGCACCAAGGATGCCCAAGCGAACATGCTTGTTGCAACATGCAGCATTCCTTCGCGTTAAATGCCGCCTGCCACTGGTTTTTGTTTTTTGACTTTGGCTTCGAGGTCTCCGCTGAGAGGCTTTCCCTCTCTTGGCGAGCGCGGGACTGAATCAAACGCAGTGTTACCGCGCCACGCCTCGCGTATGTCTCCAGCTCCACGTCGATTTGTTCTCACTTTTTTCCTGGTGACTGGCGCAGAGTGGGTATGTGAACACGAGTGAATTGCGGGGACGCCGGGATTCACGATGGGTTTGCAGTCAGGTCACTCATCTTCAGAAGCACCGGTGGCCGGACCATGTCGTCGTGGGCTCAGTACTCCTTTTCTCGCGTTAGCTGCTGAAACGGGCATTGGTAATGTCGTCATTTTCTCTGGGCTTCTTTCCACCGGCATGTTCCCACGGCATTGCATTTCGAGAACCATGAGAATCTGTTCGTGCTAGTCCTGCAGTTTGTGTAAGAAGCAAAGAAGAAGAGCAATTTTGCTTCTCTTCTGAAATCGCTGTTGCGCACCTTAGTTGACCAGTGCTCAAGTTTCATCGACGTCGTGCCTGAAGCAATGCAGAAGTACTACATCAAGCGGCCTGACGGGACGCTTACGTCCCACTACGGGGCTGCACCCGGCGCTGCGCCCGCGCCCGGCGCTGCGCCTGCGCCCCGGGCTGCGCCCGGCGCTCTGCCCGGCCCTGCAGCTTTGCGAACGGGGCAGCCTGCTTCCATCAAAGCAGCTGTGGTGCCGGCAGCGATTGCGCCTGGCAAGACCGCAGCTGCAGTGCCTGGCAAGATGCGCATGTCCCCGCACCACTCGTCAGTGCCATACGCCGTCCCTCCAGGCCGTCCAGCTGCGGCTGGCCCTCCGCCAGCCACTCCAACTGCAAAGATTTCCGACGAGGACGTGAAGAAAGCGCAGGCAGCCTGGGCCAGTGCAATCAAGGGCATCTCCAAGACATACCTTGATGGAGGAGACTATGTCGCCGCTGCTGCCAAAGCAGCTGGTGAACTCTATGGCTATGGCCACACGGACGTGCTCTTCAAGCCAACCAAGGCAGCCAAAGCACCATTTCGACCAACTGCTGCAGATGCCATGTCTTACTTTGTTGGGCATGAGGCGGTCGAGAATGGCTATGCCGAGGACGCGGGCTTTGCCATCAACGGTGGCAAGGGATGGTCAGACGTGGTCTTTCGCAACCACCAGGTGGATGTTTGCGGCAATGTCGCCATTGCCATGGGCAATTACTTCTTCACGAGCGCTGCAGACGGGAGCAAGACCAAAGTGGAGTACACGTTCGGCTACAAGAAGAATGCCGACGGCAAGGTGCGCATCTTCCTCCACCACTCGTCAGTGCCGTTTACTTCTCCAACTGCCGAGATTTCCGCAGAAGAAGTGCAGAATGCGCAGGCGGCATGGGCCAGCGCCATCAAGAGCATCTCCAAGACCTACCTTGATGGAGGCGACTACGTTGCAGCTGCCGCCAAAGCGGCTGGTGAGCTCTATGGCTACGGCCACACAGACGTGCTCTTCAAGCCCACTAAGGCAGCCGAAGCACCCTTTCGACCAACCGGTGCAGATGCCATGTCTTACTTTGTTGGGCACAAGGCGGTCGAGAATGGCTACGCCGAGGACGCCGGCTTTGCCATCAATGGTGGCAAGGGATGGTCGGACGTGGTCTTCGAGAATCACCAAATCGATCTGACTGCTAAGGTTGCAATTGCCATGGGCACCTACTTCTTCACCAGTGCTGCAGACGGGAGCAAGACCAAAGTTGAGTACACCTTCGGTTACAAGAAGAATGCCGATGGCAAGGTTCGCATCTTCCTCCACCACTCGTCAGTGCCTTACACTCTGCCTCCTGCCACTCCAACTGCAAAGATTTCCGAAGAGGACGTGAAGAGTGTGCAGTCAGCATGGGCCAATGCCATTAAGAGCATCTCCAAGACCTACCTTGATGGAGGCGACTACGTTGCCGCTGCTGCCAAAGCAGCTGGTGAGCTCTATGGCTACGGCCACACGGACGTGCTCTTCAAACCCACTAAGGCAGCCGAAGCACCATTTCGACCGACAGCCGCAGATGCCATGTCTTACTTCGTTGGGCACAAAGCGGTCGAGAATGGCTATCTTGAGGATGCTGGCTTTGCCATCAACGGCGGAAAGGGATGGTCAGACGTGGTGTTCCAGAACCACCAAATCGACGTCAGCGGCAATGTTGCCGTTGCTATGGGTACGTACGCCTTCACCAGTGCTGCAGATGGAAGCAAGACCACAGTTGAGTACACCTTCGGCTACAAGAGGAATGCGGATGACAAGGTGCGCATCTGCCTCCACCACTCCTCAGTGCCTTTCAGCCTTCCTCCAACTTCCCATCTTTCAGAACAAGAAGTCAAGAATGCGCAGACAGCATGGGCCTGCGCTATCAAGAGTATCTCCCAAACCTACCTCGATGGAGGAGACTACGTTGCAGCTGCCGCCAAAGCAGCTGGTGAGCTGTACGGCTACGGCCACACGGACGTGCTCTTCAAGCCAACCAAGGCAGCCGACGCACCATTTCGACCAACTGCTGAAGATGCCATGTCCTACTTTGTTGGGCATGAATCTGTCGAGAATGGCCATGCTGAGGATGCTGGCTTTGCCATCAATGGTGGCAAGGGATGGTCTGATGTGGTTTTTGACAACCACAAGATTGATATCACTGGCAACACCGCCCTTGCCATGGGCACCTACTTCTTCACCAGCGCTGCAGATGGGAGCAAGACCAAGGTGGAGTACACGTTCGGCTACAGGAAGAATGCGGACGGCAAGGTGCGCATCTGCCTCCACCACTCGTCGGTGCCATACAGCATAACCCCAGCCTCTCCAATTGCCGAGATTACTGAAGCGGAAGTGAAATGTGTGCAGGGAGCATGGGCCAGGGCTATCAAGGGTATCTCTCAGACCTACCTTGAAGGAGGCGACTATGTCACTGCTGCTGCAAGAGCAGCTGGTGATCTCTATGGCTATGGCCACACAAACGTGCTCTTCAAGCCAACCAAGGCAGCCGCAAAGCAGTTTCGACCAACCGGCGCAGATGCCATGTCTTACTTTGTTGGGCACAAAGCGGTCGAGAATGGCTATGCTGAGGACGCTGGCTTTGCCATCAACGGTGGCAAGGGATGGTCTGACGTGGTGTTCCAGAACCACCAAATCGATGTCAGCGGCAATGTTGCCATTGCCATGGGCACCTACTTCTTCACCAGCGCTGCAGATGGGAGCAAGACAAAAGTTGAGTACACCTTCGGCTACAAGAGGAACGCCGATGGCAAGGTGCGCATCTTCCTGCACCACTCGTCAGTCCCGTATAGTCTGCCTCCCACCGCTCCAACTGCGGATATTGCCGAAGAGGAAGTGGAGAGTGTGCAGGCAGCATGGGCCAGCGCCATCAAGAGTATCTCCAAGACCTACCTTGATGGAGGCGACTACGTGGCAGCTGCTGCCAAAGCAGCTGGTGATCTCTATGGCTATGGCCACACAAATGTGCTCTTCAAGCCAACCAAAGCAGCTAAGGCACCGTTTCGGCCAACCGGCGCAGATGCCATGTCCTACTTTGTTGGACAAAAAGCTGTCGAGAATGGGTATCTTGAGGACGCTGGCTTTGCCATCAACGGTGGAAAAGGATGGTCTGACGTCGTTTTTGACAACCACAAGATTGATATCACTGGCAATGTCGCCATTGCCATGGGCACCTACTTTTTCACCAGCGCTGCAGACGGGAGCAAGACCAAAGTTGAGTACACCTTTGGCTACAAGAAGAATGCGGACGGCAAGGTGCGCATCTTCCTCCACCACTCTTCTGTGCCTTACAGCCCTGCCCAAGCCTCTGCAACTACAGAGGTTTCAGAAGATGCAGTAGCAACTGCCCAGGCAGCATGGGCTAACGCTATCAAGAGCATCTCCAAGACCTACCTTGATGGAGGCGACTATGTTGCAGCTGCCGCCAAAGCAGCTGGTGAGCTCTATGGCTATGGGCACACAGATGTGCTCTTCAAACCCACCAAGGCAGCCGAAGCACCATTTCGACCAACCGGCGCAGATGCCATGTCTTACTTTGTTGGGCACAAAGCGGTCGAGAATGGCTATGCCGAGGACGCTGGCTTTGCCATCAATGGCGGCAAAGGATGGTCTGACGTGGTGTTCCAGAACCACCAAATCGACGTCAGCGGCAATGTTGCCATTGCCATGGGCACCTACTTCTTCACCAGCGCTGCAGATGGGAGCAAGACAAAAGTTGAGTACACCTTCGGCTACAAGAGGAACGCCGATGGCAAGGTGCGCATCTTCCTGCACCACTCGTCGGTGCCCTATAGTCTGCCTCCCACCGCCTCAACAGCAAAGGTTTCTGAAGAGCAAGTGAAGAGTGTGCAGGCAGCATGGGCCAGTGCCATCAAGAGCATCTCCAAGACCTACCTTGGTGGAGGAGACTACGTTGCAGCTGCTGCCAAAGCAGCTGGCGAGCTCTACGGCTATGGCCACACAAATGTGCTCTTCAAGCCCACCAAGGCAGCCGACGCACCATTTCGACCAACCGGCGCAGATGCCATGTCCTACTTTGTTGGGCACAAGGCGGTCGAGAATGGCTACCTTGAGGATGCTGGCTTTGCCATCAACGGTGGCAAGGGATGGTCTGACGTGGTGTTCCAGAACCACAAAATCGACGCCAGCGGCGACGTTGCCCTTGCCATGGGCACCTACTTCTTCACCAGCGCTGCAGATGGGAGCAGGGCCAAGGTTGAGTACACCTTCGGCTACAAGAAGAATGCCGACGGCAAGGTGCGCATCTGCCTCCACCACTCGTCAGTGCCATTCACTGACAAGTCAAAGGTGCAACCTGCAACGGTGATGGGCCAAGTTTCCGAACGGCTTGTCGGCGCATAGATTGGAACTCTGAGCTTTTTTGGTCGATGTTTTAACTTCGCATCTTCCTTGCAGCCGGATGGTCAGTGCAAGCTCTGGCCTGGTCGGGTCTGTGCCATTTTCTGCTTTTTTCTTGGCAGTGAAGCCGCACAATTTTCTTAAGGAACTTAATTCGACACTTGCCCAAGAGCGAGGACGAGGGGTGAACGTTTGCAGCCAAAGAGGCTAAGGCCCGGAGCCTCCTCAACCAAGCAGCGCAGCTTTGCACAAAGCTTGCGGCGCAAACACAGATGCCGTGAACGGCTGAGTAAAACCGCGTAAACGTTCAGTGCGTTCGGCAGTGCAGATTCAGTCTCATCCGGCGTCGATGCGGAAGTGTCTGTGAGCCTCGCATAGGTGCAGGGTTGAGACGGGTTGGGCAGCCCTGGATTGCAGTTTAGGACTGTGTTGTGAACCTCTGCAAAATTCATGTGCTCAGAGCCGGGCAGAAGACCAGCCGAACGCCTTTTTGGGAGCCCGCACATTGTCCGACGCTGTTTGGATCGAGCTGGGGCCCTTCTTCCAATCTTCCGGCATCTTTCGGCTGCAGCTTCCGACGCCCCCCGCGCAGCATGGCCTCTGAGAAGATAAGTGTCGTCCGGATGTCGGGTCAGGTCCTTGAGTTTGACGTGGCATCGCTGCCCCGGGATTGCAGGGTGTACGATCTCAAGAGGCAGATTTCCAGCAAACTGTCCTGCCCGACCTTCAGGCTTACCCTTGTGAACGGCGACGCGGTCCTGGAGAGTCAGGATTGCTGGCAGGCGATCGGCAAACCGATGGCCCTGTCAGTGGTGGAAGCCTGCCCTCCTACAAGTTGGGTGCACGACTATCGGGGGGAGCTCCTGGAGGCCGTCTTTGCCGGTGACGTCTTTGGGGTGGATGTGATATTGGCAAAGGGCCAGAGCCCAGAGACCCTTGCTTTCGGAGGGGAATCGGTGCTTTTTGCTGCTGCAAGGAATGGACTTCTCGATGTGGCGCGGGCACTCGTCGATGCTGGTGCAAACATGCACCATCGCTGCCGAGGATTCTTTACACCTTTGTACATTGCTTCTTGGCAAGGCCACTTGGAGGTCGTGCGTTTCTTCGTTGACGCCGGTGCAGACCCCAATCAGGGCTTGTGTGCAGCGGTCTCTAGAGGACACGCGGCAGTGGTCCAATTCCTCCTGCATCGCGGTGCGGACGTCAATGCACAAGACGAGCATGGCCAGCTGCCTGTGCAGATTGCTTGCGCAGAAGGTCATTTCGAAGTCACCCACCTGCTTTTGCTTGCGCTTGCAAGGCTGGGCCAGGACCTGCAGTCAGAGAACCTGCTGCACGCTGCTGTCAGCGGAGGCCACATGGACGTGGCGCGCTTGTTGCTGCACATTGGGGCTGACATGCACGAAGCCAGCGCCAACGGAGAGACCCCGATGCAAGCAGCCCGGCGTGGCGGAGATCTAGACATGATCGAGCTCTTGGAGAGTGCAGGTGTTGATGCTGGTGTCTCTGGGCAATGCTATGTCCGGACCGCCCTTGTTTGCACCTGAACCTCGTGTTCCAAAGGAGGTTAGTGAAATGCCATGAGCCTCATGTTCCAAGAGGATGTGGATGAACTGATTTAGTAATATCAACGCGAGCACGATCGCGTTGCCAAGTTTTGTGCCGTTTTAGAGCTGTTTTGAGCTTCTGCCAAAGGTGGCCGAGGGAATCTTCCTACATGTTGCCGAATTCATTTGTGAGGGGCGGGCCATTCAAAGTCCTGCTGCGCCTGGTAGCAGGCTGGTAGGAGACGAGCATGGAGACGAGCAAACCAATGTGAGCGGTGAGCCGGTTGTGATGTGAAACCTGCATTTTGACAAACACGAGAACTGTCGGAGCTTGCTATTGTTCCCTGAAATCTGTAGGTCTAGGGGAAGGACATTGGATTTTGGAACCTGGATCGGAGCGTGCGTGAGACTTTTTCTCTGGCAGTAGCGAGTTTGTTCCCGGCAGTGTGACGTTGCAGTCTGCCAGGCGAGTGGGAAAAGAACCAAAACTCATAAACGTTGAGGATCTCGATAGTCTGGACCCTCCTGATTTTAAGGTGACAAAAGTACATGGTCAAGAACACGCCCTGAGTAGAAGAACGCCCCGATCAGGCGGGTGTTGGCGCGTGTATGCGTGGGGGGACCACCGTACAATACCGCTACGAGCACACAGCAGCCGTGCTCAAAACTGCAATGTTTTTCTCCTCTCGTTTTCGCCGAAGCGCGTTGCGGCCAACATGCAGCATTCTTTCGCATTTTTGCAGTGGCTGAGCCCAGTTGGGGGTATGCTTGGAGCTGTAATGCCATAAAGTCGTTCTTGTGAGAATGTCTCGGAAAATGCCACCTGCCATTAGTACTTGACATTGGCTTCGAGGTCTCAGCTGAGAGGCTTTCCATCTCTTGGCGAGTGCGGGACTGATTAAAACGCGTATGTCTCCAGCTCCACGGGGATTTGTTCTCACTTTTTTCTGGTGACTGGCGCAGAGTGGGTATGTGAACACGAGGGAATTGCGGAGGGTTTGCAGTCAGGTCGCTCATCTTCAGAAGCACCGGCAGGTGGTTTGGTGGCCGGACCATGTCGTTGTGGGCTCAGTACTCCTTTTCTCGTGTTAGCTGCTGAAACGGGCTCTGGTAATGTCGTCATTTTCTCTGGGCTTCTTTCCACCGGCATGTTCCCAGGGCATTGCATTTCGACAACCATGAGAATCTGTTCGTGGTTTGTGTAAGAGGCGAAGAGAAGAGCAATTTTGCTTCTCTTCTGAAATCGCTGCTGCGCACCTTAGTTGGCCAGTGCTCAAGTTTCATCGACGTCGTGCCTGAAGCAATGCAGAAGTACTACATCAAGCAGCCTGACGGGACGCTTACGTCCCACTACGGGCCCGCGCCCGGCGCTGCGCCCGCGCCCGGCGCTGCGCCCGGCGCTCTGCCCGGCCCTGCAGCTTTGCGAACGGGGCAGCCTGCTTCCATCAGAGCAGCGGTGCCTGGTCAGACGGCAGCGATGGCGCCTGGCAAGACCGCAGCTGCAGTGCCTGGCAAGATGCGCATCTCCCCGCACCACTCGTCAGTGACATACGCCGTCCCTCCAGGCCGTCCAGCTGCGGTTGGTCCGCCAGCCACTCCAACTGCAAAGATTTCCGACGAGGACGTGAAGAAAGCGCAGGCAGCCTGGGCCAGTGCAATCAAGGGCATCTCCAAGACATACCTTGATGGAGGAGACTATGTCACCGCTGCTGCCAAAGCAGCTGGTGAGCTCTATGGCTATGGCCACACGGACGTGCTCTTCAAGCCAACCAAGGCAGCCAAAGCACCATTTCGACCAACTGCTGCAGACGCCATGTCTTACTTCGTTGGGCACAAAGCGGTCGAGAATGGCTATCTTGAGGATGCTGGCTTTGCCATCAACGGCGGAAAGGGATGGTCAGACGTGGTCTTTCGCAACCACCAGGTGGATGTTTGCGGCAATGTTGCCATTGCCATGGGCAATTACTTCTTCACGAGCGCTGCAGACGGGAGCAAGACCAAAGTGGAGTACACGTTCGGCTACAAGAAGAATGCCGACGGCAAGGTGCGCATCTTCCTCCACCACTCGTCAGTGCCGTTTGCTTCTCCAACTGCCGAGATTTCCGCAGAAGAAGTGCAGAATGCGCAGGCAGCATGGGCCAGCGCCATCAAGAGCATCTCCAAGACCTACCTTGATGGAGGCGACTACGTTGCAGCTGCCGCCAAAGCAGCTGGTGAGCTCTATGGCTACGGCCACACAGACGTGCTCTTCAAGCCGACTAAGGCAGCCGAAGCACCATTTCGACCAACCGGCGCAGATGCCATGTCTTACTTTGTAGGGCACAAGGCGGTCGAGAATGGCTATGCCGAGGACGCCGGCTTTGCCATCAATGGTGGCAAGGGATGGTCGGACGTGGTCTTCGAGAATCACCAAATCGATCTGACTGCTAAGGTTGCCATTGCCATGGGCACCTACTTCTTCACCAGCGCCGCAGATGGGAGCAAGACCAAAGTTGAGTACACCTTCGGTTACAAGAAGAATGCCGATGGCAAGGTTCGCATCTTCCTCCACCACTCGTCAGTGCCTTACACTCTGCCCCCTGCCACTCCAACTGCGAAGATTTCCGAAGAGGACGTGAAGAGTGTGCAGTCAGCATGGGCCAATGCCATTAAGAGCATCTCCAAGACCTACCTTGATGGAGGCGACTACGTTGCCGCTGCCGCCAAAGCAGCTGGTGAGCTCTATGGCTACGGCCACACGGACGTGCTCTTCAAGCCCACTAAGGCAGCCGAAGCACCATTTCGACCGACAGCCGCAGATGCCATGTCTTACTTCGTTGGGCACAAAGCGGTCGAGAATGGCTATCTTGAGGATGCTGGCTTTGCCATCAACGGCGGAAAGGGATGGTCAGACGTGGTGTTTCAGAACCACAAAATCGACGTCAGCGGCAATGTTGCCGTTGCTATGGGTACGTACGCCTTCACCAGTGCTGCAGATGGAAGCAAGACAACAGTTGAGTACACCTTCGGCTACAAGAAGAATGCGGACGGCAAGGTGCGCATCTGCCTCCACCACTCGTCAGTGCCTTTCAGCCTTCCTCCAACTTCCCATCTTTCAGAACAAGAAGTCAAGAATGCGCAGACAGCATGGGCCTGCGCTATCAAGAGTATCTCCCAAACCTACCTCGATGGAGGAGACTACGTTGCAGCTGCCGCCAAAGCAGCTGGTGAGCTCTACGGCTATGGCCACACAAATGTGCTCTTCAAGCCAACCAAGGCAGCCGACGCACCATTTCGACCAACTGCTGAAGATGCCATGTCCTACTTTGTTGGGCATGAATCTGTCGAGAATGGCCATGCTGAGGATGCTGGCTTTGCCATCAATGGTGGCAAGGGATGGTCTGATGTGGTTTTTGACAACCACAAGATTGATATCACTGGCAACACCGCCCTTGCCATGGGCACCTACTTCTTCACCAGCGCTGCAGATGGGAGCAAGACCAAGGTGGAGTACACGTTCGGATACAGGAAGAATGCGGACGGCAAGGTGCGCATCTGCCTCCACCACTCGTCGGTGCCATACAGCATAACCCCAGCCTCTCCAATTGCCGAGATTACTGAAGCGGAAGTGAAATGTGTGCAGGGAGCATGGGCCAGGGCTATCAAGGGTATCTCTCAGACCTACCTTGAAGGAGGCGACTATGTCACTGCTGCTGCAAGAGCAGCTGGTGAGCTCTATGGCTATGGCCACACAAACGTGCTCTTCAAGCCAACCAAGGCAGCCGCAAAGCAGTTTCGACCAACCGGCGCAGATGCCATGTCTTACTTTGTTGGGCACAAAGCGGTCGAGAATGGCTATGCTGAGGACGCTGGCTTTGCCATCAACGGTGGCAAGGGATGGTCGGACGTGGTGTTCCAGAACCACAAGATCGATGTCAATGGCACTGTCGCCATTGCCATGGGCACCTACTTCTTCACAAGCGCTGCAGATGGAAGCAAGACCACAGTTGAGTACACCTTCGGCTACAAGAGGAACGCCGATGGCAAGGTGCGCATCTTCCTCCACCACTCGTCAGTGCCGTATAGTCTGCCCCCCACCGCTCCAACTGCGGATATTGCCGAAGAGGAAGTGGAGAGTGTGCAGGCAGCATGGGCCAGCGCCATCAAGAGCATCTCCAAGACTTACCTTGATGGAGGCGACTACGTGGCAGCTGCTGCCAAAGCAGCTGGTGAGCTCTACGGCTATGGCCACACAAATGTGCTCTTCAAGCCCACCAAAGCAGCTAAGGCACCGTTTCGACCAACCGGCGCAGATGCCATGTCTTACTTTGTTGGACACAAAGCTGTCGAGAATGGGTATCTTGAGGATGCTGGCTTCGCCATCAATGGCGGAAAAGGATGGTCTGACGTCGTTTTTGACAACCACAAGATTGACATCACTGGCAATGTCGCCATTGCCATGGGCACCTACTTTTTCACCAGCGCTGCAGATGGGAGCAAGACCAAAGTTGAGTACACCTTTGGCTACAAGAAGAATTCGGACGGCAAGGTGCGCATCTTCCTCCACCATTCTTCTGTGCCTTACAGCCCTCAAGCGTCTGCAACTACCGAGGTTTCAGAAGATGCAGTAGCAACTGCCCAGGCAGCATGGGCTAGCGCTATCAAGAGCATCTCCAAGACCTACCTTGATGGAGGCGACTATGTTGCAGCTGCCGCCAAAGCAGCTGGTGAGCTCTATGGCTATGGGCACACAGATGTGCTCTTCAAACCCACCAAGGCAGCCGAAGCACCATTTCGACCAACCGGCGCAGATGCCATGTCTTACTTTGTTGGGCATAAGGCGGTCGAGAATGGCTATGCCGAGGACGCGGGCTTTGCCATCAATGGCGGCAAAGGATGGTCTGATGTGGTGTTCCAGAACCACCAAATCGACGTCAGCGGCAATGTTGCCATTGCCATGGGCACCTACTTCTTCACCAGCGCTGCAGATGGGAGCAAGACCAAAGTTGAGTACACCTTCGGCTACAAGAGGAACGCCGATGGCAAGGTGCGCATCTTCCTCCACCACTCGTCGGTGCCCTATAGTCTGCCTCCCACCGCCTCAACAGCAAAGGTTTCTGAAGAGCAAGTGAAGAGTGTGCAGGCAGCATGGGCCAGCGCCATCAAGAGCATCTCCAAGACCTACCTTGGTGGAGGAGATTATGTTGCAGCTGCTGCCAAAGCAGCTGGCGAGCTCTACGGCTATGGCCACACAAATGTGCTCTTCAAGCCCACCAAGGCAGCCGCCGCACCATTTCGACCAACCGGCGCAGATGCCATGTCCTACTTTGTTGGGCACAAGGCGGTGGAGAATGGCTATCTTGAGGATGCTGGCTTTGCCATCAACGGTGGCAAGGGATGGTCGGACGTGGTGTTCCAGAACCACAAAATCGATGTCAGCGGCGACGTTGCCCTTGCCATGGGCACCTACTTCTTCACCAGCGCTGCAGATGGGAGCAAGACCAAGGTTGAGTACACCTTCGGCTACAAGAAGAATGCGGACGGCAAGGTGCGCATCTGCCTCCACCACTCGTCAGTGCCATTCGCTGACAAGTCAAAGGTGCAGCCTGCAACGGTGATGGGCCAAGTTTCCGAACGGCTTGTCGGCGCATAGATTGGAACTCTGAGCTTCTTTTGGTCGATGTTTTAACTTCGCATCTTCCTTGCAGCCGGACGGTCAGTACAAGCTCTGGCCTGGTCTGGTCTGTGCCATTTTCTGCTTTTTTCTTGGCAGTGAAGCCACAATTTTCTTAAGGAACTTAATTCGACACTTGCCCAAGAGCGAGGACGAGGGGTGAACGTTTGCAGCGAGCCAAAGAGGCTAAGGCCCGGAGCTCCTCAATCAAGCAGCGCAGCTTTGCACAAAGCTTGCGGCGCAAACACAGATGCCGTGAACGGCTGAGTAAAACCGAGTAAACGTTCAGTGCGTTCGGCCGTGCAGCTTCAATCTTAGCCGACCCCACCACAGAGAGGTCACAGAGACTGCCTGGAAGCTCTCGAGGTCTGCTGAGTCCCCTTCTTGATGCTGATGGGCGGGGCACCAAGGATGCCCGAGCGAACATGCTTGTTGCAACATGCAGCATTCCTTCGCGCTAAATGCCGCCTGCCACTGGTTTTTGTTTTTGACATTGGCTTCGAGGTCTCCGCTGAGAGGCTTTTCCTCTCTTGGCGAGCGCGGGACTGATTCAAACGCAGTGTTGCCGCGCCACGCATCGCGTATGTCTCCAGCTCCACGTCGATTTTTTCTCACTTCTTTTCTGGTGACTGGCGCAGAGTGGGTATGTGAACACGAGTGAATTGCGGGGACGCCGGGATTCACGATGGGTTTGCAGTCAGGTCACTCATCTTCAGTAGCACCGGCAGGTGGTTTGGTGGCCGGACCATGTCGTCGTGGGCTCAGTACTCTTTTCTCGTGTTAGCTGCTGAAATGGGCATTGGTAACATCGTCATTTTCTCTTGGCTTCTTTCCACCGGCATGTTCCCAGGGCATGGCATGTCGACAACCATGAGAATCTGTTCGTCCTAGTCCTGCAGTTTGTGTAAGAGGCAAAGAAGAAGAGCAATTTTGCTTCTCTTCTGAAATCGCTGCTGCGCACCTTAGTTGGCCAGTGCTCAAGTTTCATCGACGTCGTGCCTGAAGCAATGCAGAAGTACTACATCAAGCAGCCTGACGGGACGCTTACGTCCCACTACGGGGCTGCGCCCGGCGCTGTGCCCGCGCCCGGCGCTGCGCCTGCGCCCCGGGCTGCGCCCGGCGCTCTGCCCGGCCCTGCAGCTTTGCGAACGGGGCAGCCTGCTTCCATCAGAGCAGCTGTGGTGCCTGGTCAGACGGCAACGATGGCGCTTGGCAAGACCGCAGCTGCAGTGCCTGGCAAGATGCGCATCTCCCCGCACCACTCGTCAGTGCCATACGCCGTCCCTCCAGGCCGTCCAGCTGCGGTTGGTCCGCCAGCCACTCCAACTGCAAAGATTTCCGACGAGGACGTGAAGAAAGCGCAGGCAGCCTGGGCCAGTGCAATCAAGGGCATCTCCAAGACATACCTTGATGGAGGAGACTATGTCGCCGCTGCTGCCAAAGCAGCTGGTGAACTCTATGGCTATGGCCACACGGACGTGCTCTTCAAGCCAACCAAGGCAGCCAAAGCACCATTTCGACCAACTGCTGCAGATGCCATGTCTTACTTCGTTGGGCACAAAGCGGTCGAGAATGGCTATCTTGAGGATGCTGGCTTTGCCATCAACGGCGGAAAGGGATGGTCAGACGTGGTCTTTCGCAACCACCAGGTGGATGTTTGCGGCAATGTTGCCATTGCCATGGGCAATTACTTTTTCACGAGCGCTGCAGATGGAAGCAAGACCAAAGTGGAGTACACGTTCGGCTACAAGAAGAATGCCGACGGCAAGGTGCGCATCTTCCTCCACCACTCGTCAGTGCCGTTTGCTTCTCCAACTGCCGAGATTTCCGCAGAGGAAGTGCAGAATGCGCAGGCAGCATGGGCCAGCGCCATCAAGAGCATCTCCAAGACTTACCTTGATGGAGGCGACTACGTTGCCGCTGCCGCCAAAGCAGCTGGTGAGCTGTATGGCTACGGCCACACGGACGAAGGCAGCCGAAGCACCCTTTCGACCAACCGGTGCAGATGCCATGTCTTACTTTGTTGGGCACAAGGCGGTCGAGAATGGCTACGCCGAGGACGCTGGCTTTGCCATCAATGGTGGCAAGGGATGGTCGGACGTGGTCTTCGAAAATCACCAAATCGATCTGACTGCTAAGGTTGCCATTGCCATGGGCACCTACTTCTTCACCAGCGCCGCAGATGGGAGCAAGACCAAAGTTGAGTACACCTTCGGTTACAAGAAGAATGCCGACGGCAAGGTTCGCATCTTCCTCCACCACTCGTCAGTGCCTTACACTCTGCCCCCTGCCACTCCAACTGCGAAGATTTCAGAAGAGGACGTGAAGAGTGTGCAGTCAGCATGGGCCAATGCCATTAAGAGCATCTCCAAGACCTACCTTGATGGAGGAGACTACGTTGCCGCTGCTGCCAAAGCAGCTGGTGAGCTCTATGGCTATGGCCACACGGACGTGCTCTTCAAGCCCACTAAGGCAGCCGAAGCACCATTTCGACCGACAGCCGCAGATGCCATGTCTTACTTCGTTGGGCACAAAGCGGTCGAGAATGGCTATCTTGAGGATGCTGGCTTTGCCATCAACGGCGGAAAGGGATGGTCAGACGTGGTGTTCCAGAACCACAAAATCGACGTCAGCGGCAATGTTGCCATTGCTATGGGTACGTACGCCTTCACCAGTGCTGCAGATGGAAGCAAGACCACAGTTGAGTACACCTTCGGCTACAAGAGGAATGCGGATGACAAGGTGCGCATCTGCCTCCACCACTCCTCAGTGCCTTTCAGCCTTCCTCCAACTTCCCATCTTTCAGCACAAGAAGTCAAGAATGCGCAGACAGCATGGGCCTGCGCTATCAAGAGTATCTCCCAAACCTACCTCGATGGAGGAGACTACGTTGCAGCTGCCGCCAAAGCAGCTGGTGAGCTGTACGGCTACGGCCACACGGACGTGCTCTTCAAGCCAACCAAGGCAGCCGACGCACCATTTCGACCAACTGCTGAAGATGCCATGTCCTACTTTGTTGGGCATGAATCTGTCGAGAATGGCCATGCTGAGGATGCTGGCTTTGCCATCAATGGTGGCAAGGGATGGTCTGATGTGGTTTTTGACAACCACAAGATTGATATCACTGGCAACACCGCCCTTGCCATGGGCACCTACTTCTTCACCAGCGCTGCAGATGGGAGCAAGACCAAGGTGGAGTACACGTTCGGATACAGGAAGAATGCGGACGGCAAGGTGCGCATCTGCCTCCACCACTCGTCGGTGCCATACAGCATAACCCCAGCCTCTCCAATTGCCGAGATTACTGAAGCGGAAGTGAAATGTGTGCAGGGAGCATGGGCCAGGGCTATCAAGGGTATCTCTCAGACCTACCTTGAAGGAGGCGACTATGTCACTGCTGCTGCAAGAGCAGCTGGTGAGCTCTATGGTTATGGCCACACAAACGTGCTCTTCAAGCCAACCAAGGCAGCCGCAAAGCAGTTTCGACCAACCGGCGCAGATGCCATGTCTTACTTTGTTGGGCACAAAGCGGTCGAGAATGGCTTTGCTGAGGATGCTGGCTTTGCCATCAACGGTGGCAAGGGATGGTCTGACGTGGTGTTCCAGAACCACAAGATCGATGTCAATGGCGCTGTCGCCATTGCCATGGGCACCTACTTCTTCACCAGCGCTGCAGATGGAAGCAAGACCACAGTTGAGTACACCTTCGGCTACAAGAGGAACGCCGATGGCAAGGTGCGCATCTTCCTCCACCACTCGTCAGTCCCGTATAGTCTGCCTCCCACCGCTCCAACTGCGGATATTGCCGAAGAGGAAGTGGAGAGTGTGCAGGCAGCGTGGGCCAGCGCCATCAAGAGTATCTCCAAGACCTACCTTGATGGAGGAGACTACGTGGCAGCTGCTGCCCAAGCAGCTGGTGAGCTCTACGGCTATGGCCACACAAATGTGCTCTTCAAGCCCACCAAAGCAGCTAAGGCACCGTTTCGACCAACCGGCGCAGATGCCATGTCCTACTTTGTTGGACACAAAGCTGTCGAGAATGGGTATCTTGAGGATGCTGGCTTTGCCATCAACGGTGGAAAAGGATGGTCTGACGTCGTTTTTGACAACCACAAGATTGACATCACTGGCAATGTGGCCATTGCCATGGGCACCTACTTCTTCACCAGCGCTGCAGACGGGAGCAAGACCAAAGTTGAGTACACCTTTGGCTACAAGAAGAATGCGGACGGCAAGGTGCGCATCTTCCTCCACCACTCTTCTGTGCCTTACAGCCCTGCCCAAGCCTCTGCAACTACCGAGGTTTCAGAAGATGCAGTAGCAACTGCCCAGGCAGCATGGGCTAGCGCTATCAAGAGCATCTCCAAGACCTACCTTGATGGAGGCGACTATGTTGCAGCTGCCGCCAAAGCGGCTGGTGAGCTCTATGGCTATGGCCACACAGATGTGCTCTTCAAACCCACCAAGGCAGCCGAAGCACCATTTCGACCAACCGGCGCAGATGCCATGTCTTACTTTGTTGGGCACAAGGCGGTCGAGAATGGCTATGCCGAGGACGCTGGCTTTGCCATCAATGGCGGCAAAGGATGGTCTGATGTGGTGTTCCAGAACCACCAAATCGACGTCAGCGGCAATGTTGCCATTGCCATGGGCACCTACTTCTTCACCAGCGCTGCAGATGGGAGCAAGACAAAAGTTGAGTACACCTTCGGCTACAAGAGGAACGCCGATGGCAAGGTGCGCATCTTCCTCCACCACTCGTCGGTGCCCTATAGTCTGCCTCCCACCGCCTCAACAGCAAAGGTTTCTGAAGAGCAAGTGAAGAGTGTGCAGGCAGCATGGGCCGGCGCCATTAAGAGCATCTCCAAGACCTACCTTGGTGGAGGAGATTATGTTGCAGCTGCTGCCAAAGCAGCTGGTGAGCTCTATGGCTATGGCCACACAAATGTGCTCTTCAAGCCCACCAAGGCAGCCGAAGCACCATTTCGACCGACTGGCGCAGATGCCATGTCTTACTTTGTTGGACATAAAGCTGTCGAGAATGGGTATGTTGAGGATGCTGGATTTGCCATCAACGGTGGCAAGGGATGGTCGGACGTGGTGTTCCAGAACCACAAAATCGACGTCAGCGGCGACGTTGCCCTTGCCATGGGCACCTACTTCTTCACCAGCGCTGCAGATGGGAGCAAGACCAAGGTTGAGTACACCTTCGGCTACAAGAAGAATGCGGACGGCAAGGTGCGCATCTGCCTCCACCACTCGTCAGTGCCATTCACTGACAAGTCAAAGGTGCAGCCTGCAACGGTGATGGGCCAGGTTTCCGAACGGCTTGTCGGCGCATAGATTGGAACTCTGAGCTTCTTTTGGTCGATGTTTTAACTTCGCATCTTCCTTGCAGCCGGACGGTCAGTACAAGCTCTGGCCTGGTCTGGTCTGTGCCATTTTCTGCTTTTTCTTGGCAGTGAAGCCACAATTTTCTTAAGGAACTTAATTCGACACTTGCCCAAGAGCGAGGACGAGGGGTGAACGTTTGCAGCGAGCCAAAGAGGCTAAGGCCCGGAGCTCCTCAATCAAGCAGCGCAGCTTTGCACAAAGCTTGCGGCGCAAACACAGATGCCGTGAACGGCTGAGTAAAACCGAGTAAACGTTCAGTGCGTTCGGCCGTGCAGCTTCAATCTTAGCCGACCCCACCACAGAGAGGTCACAGAGTGTCACAGAGACTCGCTGGAAGCTCTCGAGGTCTGCTGATGGGCTCCATCTGAGGCGGGCGGGGCACCAAGGATGCCCAAGCGAACATGCTTGTTGCAACATGCAGCATTCCTTCGCGTTAAATGCCGCCTGCCACTGGTTTTTGTTTTTTGACTTTGGCTTCGAGGTCTCCGCTGAGAGGCTTTCCCTCTCTTGGCGAGCGCGGGACTGAATCAAACGCAGTGTTACCGCGCCACGCCTCGCGTATGTCTCCACGTCGATTTGTTCTCACTTCTTTTCTGGTGACTGGTGCAGAGTGGGTATGTGAACACGAGTGAATTGCGGGGACGCCGGGATTCACGATGGGTTTGCAGTCAGGTCACTCATCTTCAGAAGCACCGGTGGCCGGACCATGTCGTCGTGGGCTCAGTACTCCTTTTCTCGCGTTAGCTGCTGAAACGGGCATTGGTAATGTCGTCATTTTCTCTGGGCTTCTTTCCACCGGCATGTTCCCACGGCATTGCATTTCGACAACCATGAGAATCTGTTCGTGCTAGTCCTGCAGTTTGTGTAGGAAGCAAAGAAGAAGAGCAATTTTGCTTCTCTTCTGAAATCGCTGTTGCGCACCTTAGTTGACCAGTGCTCAAGTTTCATCGACGTCGTGCCTGAAGCAATGCAGAAGTACTACATCAAGCAGCCAGACGGGACGCTTACGTCCCACTACGGGGCTGCGCCCGGCGCTGTGCCCGCGCCCGGCGCTGCGCCTGCGCCCCGGGCTGCGCCCGGCGCTCTGCCCGGCCCTGCAGCTTTGCGAACGGGGCAGCCTGCTTCCATCAGAGCAGCTGTGGTGCCTGGTCAGACGGCAGCGATGGCGCCTGGCAAGACCGCAGCTGCAGTGCCTGGCAAGATGCGCATCTCCCCGCACCACTCGTCAGTGCCATACGCCGTCCCTCCAGGCCGTCCAGCTGCGGTTGGTCCGCCAGCCACTCCAACTGCAAAGATTTCCGACGAGGACGTGAAGAAAGCGCAGGCAGCCTGGGCCAGTGCAATCAAGGGCATCTCCAAGACATACCTTGATGGAGGAGACTATGTCGCCGCTGCTGCCAAAGCAGCTGGTGAACTCTATGGCTATGGCCACACGGACGTGCTCTTCAAGCCCACCAAGGCAGCCAAAGCACCATTTCGACCAACTGCTGCAGATGCCATGTCTTACTTCGTTGGGCACAAAGCGGTCGAGAATGGCTATCTTGAGGATGCTGGCTTTGCCATCAACGGCGGAAAGGGATGGTCAGACGTGGTCTTTCGCAACCACCAGGTGGATGTTTCCGGCAATGTTGCCATTGCCATGGGCAATTACTTTTTCACGAGCGCTGCAGATGGAAGCAAGACCAAAGTGGAGTACACGTTCGGCTACAAGAAGAATGCCGACGGCAAGGTGCGCATCTTCCTCCACCACTCGTCAGTGCCGTTTGCTTCTCCAACTACCGAGATTTCCGCAGAGGAAGTGCAGAATGCGCAGGCAGCATGGGCCAGCGCCATCAAGAGCATCTCCAAGACTTACCTTGATGGAGGCGACTACGTTGCCGCTGCCGCCAAAGCAGCTGGTGAGCTGTATGGCTACGGCCACACGGACGAAGGCAGCCGAAGCACCCTTTCGACCAACCGGTGCAGATGCCATGTCTTACTTTGTTGGGCACAAGGCGGTCGAGAATGGCTACGCCGAGGACGCTGGCTTTGCCATCAATGGTGGCAAGGGATGGTCGGACGTGGTCTTCGAAAATCACCAAATCGATCTGACTGCTAAGGTTGCCATTGCCATGGGCACCTACTTCTTCACCAGCGCCGCAGATGGGAGCAAGACCAAAGTTGAGTACACCTTCGGTTACAAGAAGAATGCCGACGGCAAGGTTCGCATCTTCCTCCACCACTCGTCAGTGCCTTACACTCTGCCCCCTGCCACTCCAACTGCGAAGATTTCAGAAGAGGACGTGAAGAGTGTGCAGTCAGCATGGGCCAATGCCATTAAGAGCATCTCCAAGACCTACCTTGATGGAGGAGACTACGTTGCCGCTGCTGCCAAAGCAGCTGGTGAGCTCTATGGCTATGGCCACACGGACGTGCTCTTCAAGCCAACCAAGGCAGCCAAAGCACCATTTCGACCAACTGCTGCAGATGCCATGTCTTACTTCGTTGGGCACAAAGCGGTCGAGAATGGCTATCTTGAGGATGCTGGCTTTGCCATCAACGGCGGAAAGGGATGGTCAGACGTGGTCTTTCGCAACCACCAGGTGGATGTTTGCGGCAATGTTGCCATTGCCATGGGCAATTACTTTTTCACGAGCGCTGCAGATGGAAGCAAGACCAAAGTGGAGTACACGTTCGGCTACAAGAAGAATGCCGACGGCAAGGTGCGCATCTTCCTCCACCACTCGTCAGTGCCGTTTGCTTCTCCAACTGCCGAGATTTCCGCAGAGGAAGTGCAGAATGCGCAGGCAGCATGGGCCAGCGCCATCAAGAGCATCTCCAAGACCTACCTTGATGGAGGCGACTACGTTGCAGCTGCCGCCAAAGCAGCTGGTGAGCTGTATGGCTACGGCCACACGGACGTGCTCTTCAAGAAGGCAGCCGAAGCACCCTTTCGACCAACCGGTGCAGATGCCATGTCTTACTTTGTTGGGCACAAGGCGGTCGAGAATGGCTATGTCGAGGATGCTGGCTTTGCCATCAATGGTGGCAAGGGATGGTCGGACGTGGTCTTCGAAAATCACCAAATCGATCTGACTGCTAAGGTTGCCATTGCCATGGGCACCTACTTCTTCACCAGCGCCGCAGATGGGAGCAAGACCAAAGTTGAGTACACCTTCGGTTACAAGAAGAATGCCGACGGCAAGGTTCGCATCTTCCTCCACCACTCGTCAGTGCCTTACACTCTGCCCCCTGCCACTCCAACTGCGAAGATTTCAGAAGAGGACGTGAAGAGTGTGCAGTCAGCATGGGCCAATGCCATTAAGAGCATCTCCAAGACCTACCTTGATGGAGGAGACTACGTTGCCGCTGCTGCCAAAGCAGCTGGTGAGCTCTATGGCTATGGCCACACGGACGTGCTCTTCAAGCCCACTAAGGCAGCCGAAGCACCATTTCGACCGACAGCCGCAGATGCCATGTCTTACTTCGTTGGGCACAAAGCGGTCGAGAATGGCTATCTTGAGGATGCTGGCTTTGCCATCAACGGCGGAAAGGGATGGTCAGACGTGGTGTTCCAGAACCACAAAATCGACGTCAGCGGCAATGTTGCCGTTGCTATGGGTACGTACGCCTTCACCAGTGCTGCAGATGGAAGCAAGACCACAGTTGAGTACACCTTCGGCTACAAGAGGAATGCGGATGACAAGGTGCGCATCTGCCTCCACCACTCCTCAGTGCCTTTCAGCCTTCCTCCAACTTCCCATCTTTCAGCACAAGAAGTCAAGAATGCGCAGACAGCATGGGCCTGCGCTATCAAGAGTATCTCCCAAACCTACCTCGATGGAGGAGACTACGTTGCAGCTGCCGCCAAAGCAGCTGGTGAGCTGTACGGCTACGGCCACACGGACGTGCTCTTCAAGCCAACCAAGGCAGCCGACGCACCATTTCGACCAACTGCTGAAGATGCCATGTCCTACTTTGTTGGGCATGAATCTGTCGAGAATGGCCATGCTGAGGATGCTGGCTTTGCCATCAATGGTGGCAAGGGATGGTCTGATGTGGTTTTTGACAACCACAAGATTGATATCACTGGCAATACCGCCCTTGCCATGGGCACCTACTTCTTCACCAGCGCTGCAGATGGGAGCAAGACCAAGGTGGAGTACACGTTCGGATACAGGAAGAATGCGGACGGCAAGGTGCGCATCTGCCTCCACCACTCGTCGGTGCCATACAGCATAACCCCAGCCTCTCCAATTGCCGAGATTACTGAAGCGGAAGTGAAATGTGTGCAGGGAGCATGGGCCAGGGCTATCAAGGGTATCTCTCAGACCTACCTTGAAGGAGGCGACTATGTCACTGCTGCTGCAAGAGCAGCTGGTGAGCTCTATGGTTATGGCCACACAAACGTGCTCTTCAAGCCAACCAAGGCAGCCGCAAAGCAGTTTCGACCAACCGGCGCAGATGCCATGTCGTACTTTGTTGGGCACAAAGCGGTCGAGAATGGCTTTGCTGAGGATGCTGGCTTTGCCATCAACGGTGGCAAGGGATGGTCTGACGTGGTGTTCCAGAACCACAAGATCGATGTCAATGGCGACTGTCGCCATTGCCATGGGCACCTACTTCTTCACCAGCGCTGCAGATGGAAGCAAGACCACAGTTGAGTACACCTTCGGCTACAAGAGGAACGCCGATGGCAAGGTGCGCATCTTCCTCCACCACTCGTCAGTCCCGTATAGTCTGCCTCCCACCGCTCCAACTGCGGATATTGCCGAAGAGGAAGTGGAGAGTGTGCAGGCAGCGTGGGCCAGCGCCATCAAGAGTATCTCCAAGACCTACCTTGATGGAGGAGACTACGTGGCAGCTGCTGCCCAAGCAGCTGGTGAGCTCTACGGCTATGGCCACACAAATGTGCTCTTCAAGCCCACCAAAGCAGCTAAGGCACCGTTTCGACCAACCGGCGCAGATGCCATGTCCTACTTTGTTGGACACAAAGCTGTCGAGAATGGGTATCTTGAGGATGCTGGCTTTGCCATCAACGGTGGAAAAGGATGGTCTGACGTCGTTTTTGACAACCACAAGATTGACATCACTGGCAATGTGGCCATTGCCATGGGCACCTACTTCTTCACCAGCGCTGCAGACGGGAGCAAGACCAAAGTTGAGTACACCTTTGGCTACAAGAAGAATGCGGACGGCAAGGTGCGCATCTTCCTCCACCACTCTTCTGTGCCTTACAGCCCTGCCCAAGCCTCTGCAACTACCGAGGTTTCAGAAGATGCAGTAGCAACTGCCCAGGCAGCATGGGCTAGCGCTATCAAGAGCATCTCCAAGACCTACCTTGATGGAGGCGACTATGTTGCAGCTGCCGCCAAAGCAGCTGGTGAGCTCTATGGCTACGGCCACACAGACGTGCTCTTCAAACCCACCAAGGCAGCCGAAGCACCATTTCGACCAACCGGCGCAGATGCCATGTCTTACTTTGTTGGGCACAAAGCGGTCGAGAATGGCTATGCCGAGGACGCTGGCTTTGCCATCAATGGCGGCAAAGGATGGTCTGACGTGGTGTTCCAGAACCACCAAATCGACGTCAGCGGCAATGTTGCCATTGCCATGGGCACCTACTTCTTCACCAGCGCTGCAGATGGGAGCAAGACAAAAGTTGAGTACACCTTCGGCTACAAGAGGAACGCCGATGGCAAGGTGCGCATCTTCCTGCACCACTCGTCGGTGCCCTATAGTCTGCCTCCCACCGCCTCAACAGCAAAGGTTTCTGAAGAGCAAGTGAAGAGTGTGCAGGCAGCATGGGCCAGCGCCATCAAGAGCATCTCCAAGACCTACCTTGGTGGAGGAGACTACGTTGCAGCTGCTGCCAAAGCAGCTGGCGAGCTCTACGGCTATGGCCACACAAATGTGCTCTTCAAGCCCACCAAGGCAGCCGACGCACCATTTCGACCAACCGGCGCAGATGCCATGTCCTACTTTGTTGGACATAAAGCTGTCGAGAATGGGTATGTTGAGGATGCTGGCTTTGCCATCAACGGTGGCAAGGGATGGTCGGACGTGGTGTTCCAGAACCACAAAATCGATGTCAGCGGCGACGTTGCCCTTGCCATGGGCACCTACTTCTTCACCAGCGCTGCAGATGGGAGCAAGACCAAGGTTGAGTACACCTTCGGCTACAAGAAGAATGCGGACGGCAAGGTGCGCATCTGCCTCCACCACTCGTCAGTGCCATTCGCTGACAAAGCGAAGGTGCAGCCTGCAACGGTGATGGGCCAAGTTTCCGAACGGCTTGTCGGCGCATAGATTGGAACTCTGAGCTTCTTTTGGTCGATGTTTTAACTTCGCATCTTCCTTGCAGCCGGACGGTCAGTGCAAGCTCTGGCCTGGTCTGGTCTGTGCCATTTTCTGCTTTTTCTTGGCAGTGAAGCCACAATTTTCTTAAGGAACTTAATTCGACACTTGCCCAAGAGCGAGGACGAGGGGTGAACGTTTGCAGCGAGCCAAAGAGGCTAAGGCCCGGAGCTCCTCAATCAAGCAGCGCAGCTTTGCACAAAGCTTGCGGCGCAAACACAGATGCCGTGAACGGCTGAGTAAAACCGAGTAAACGTTCAGTGCGTTCGGCCGTGCAGCTTCAATCTCAGCCGACCCCACCACAGAGAGGTCACAGAGTGTCACAGAGACTCGCTGGAAGCTCTCGAGGTCTGCTGAGTCGCCTGCTTGGTGCTGATGGGCTCCATCTGAGGCGGGCGGGGCACCAAGGATGCCCAAGCGAACATGCTTGTTGCAACATGCAGCATTCCTTCGCGTTAAATGCCGCCTGCCACTGGTTTTTGTTTTTTGACTTTGGCTTCGAGGTCTCCACTGAGAGGCTTTCCCTCTCTTGGCGAGCGCGGGACTGAATCAAACGCAGTGTTGCCGCGCCACGCCTCGCGTATGTCTCCAGCTCCACGTCGATTTTTTCTCACTTCTTTTCTGGTGACTGGCGCAGAGTGGGTATGTGAACACGAGTGAATTGCGGGGACGCCGGGATTCACGATGGGTTTGCAGTCAGGTCACTCATCTTCAGTAGCACCGGCAGGTGGTTTGGTGGCCGGACCATGTCGTCGTGGGCTCAGTACTCTTTTCTCGTGTTAGCTGCTGAAATGGGCATTGGTAACATCGTCATTTTCTCTTGGCTTCTTTCCACCGGCATGTTCCCAGGGCATTGCATGTCGACAACCATGAGAATCTGTTCGTGCTAGTCCTGCAGTTTGTGTAAGAGGCAAAGAAGAAGAAGAGCAATTTTGCTTCTCTTCTGAAATCGCTGTTGCGCACCTTAGTTGACCAGTGCTCAAGTTTCATCGACGTCGTGCCTGAAGCAATGCAGAAATACTACATCAAGCAGCCAGACGGGACGCTTACGTCCCACTACGGGGCTGCGCCCGGCGCTGTGCCCGCGCCCGGTGCTGCGCCTGCGCCCCGGGCTGCGCCCGGCGCTCTGCCCGGCCCTGCAGCTTTGCGAACGGGGCAGCCTGCTTCCATCAGAGCAGCTGTGGTGCCTGGTCAGACGGCAGCGATGGCGCCTGGCAAGACCGCAGCTGCAGTGCCTGGCAAGATGCGCATCTCCCCGCACCACTCGTCAGTGCCATACGCCGTCCCTCCAGGCCGTCCAGCTGCGGTTGGTCCGCCAGCCACTCCAACTGCAAAGATTTCCGACGAGGACGTGAAGAAAGCGCAGGCAGCCTGGGCCAGTGCAATCAAGGGCATCTCCAAGACATACCTTGATGGAGGAGACTATGTCGCCGCTGCTGCCAAAGCAGCTGGTGAACTCTATGGCTATGGCCACACGGACGTGCTCTTCAAGCCAACCAAGGCAGCCAAAGCACCATTTCGACCAACTGCTGCAGATGCCATGTCTTACTTCGTTGGGCACAAAGCGGTCGAGAATGGCTATCTTGAGGATGCTGGCTTTGCCATCAACGGCGGAAAGGGATGGTCAGACGTGGTCTTTCGCAACCACCAGGTGGATGTTTCCGGCAATGTTGCCATTGCCATGGGCAATTACTTTTTCACGAGCGCTGCAGATGGAAGCAAGACCAAAGTGGAGTACACGTTCGGCTACAAGAAGAATGCCGACGGCAAGGTGCGCATCTTCCTCCACCACTCGTCAGTGCCGTTTGCTTCTCCAACTACCGAGATTTCCGCAGAGGAAGTGCAGAATGCGCAGGCAGCATGGGCCAGCGCCATCAAGAGCATCTCCAAGACTTACCTTGATGGAGGCGACTACGTTGCCGCTGCCGCCAAAGCAGCTGGTGAGCTGTATGGCTACGGCCACACGGACGTGCTCTTCAAGCCAACCAAGGCAGCCAAAGCACCCTTTCGACCAACCGGTGCAGATGCCATGTCTTACTTTGTTGGGCACAAGGCGGTCGAGAATGGCTACGCCGAGGACGCTGGCTTTGCCATCAATGGTGGCAAGGGATGGTCGGACGTGGTCTTCGAAAATCACCAAATCGATCTGACTGCTAAGGTTGCCATTGCCATGGGCACCTACTTCTTCACCAGCGCCGCAGATGGGAGCAAGACCAAAGTTGAGTACACCTTCGGTTACAAGAAGAATGCCGACGGCAAGGTTCGCATCTTCCTCCACCACTCGTCAGTGCCTTACACTCTGCCCCCTGCCACTCCAACTGCGAAGATTTCAGAAGAGGACGTGAAGAGTGTGCAGTCAGCTTGGGCCAATGCCATTAAGAGCATCTCCAAGACCTACCTTGACGGAGGAGACTACGTGGCCGCTGCTGCCAAAGCGGCTGGTGAGCTCTATGGCTATGGCCACACGGACGTGCTCTTCAAGCCCACTAAGGCAGCCGAAGCACCATTTCGACCGACAGCCGCAGATGCCATGTCTTACTTCGTTGGGCACAAAGCTGTCGAGAATGGCTATCTTGAGGATGCTGGCTTTGCCATCAACGGCGGAAAGGGATGGTCAGACGTGGTGTTCCAGAACCACAAAATCGACGTCAGCGGCAATGTTGCCGTTGCTATGGGTACGTACGCCTTCACCAGTGCTGCAGATGGAAGCAAGACCACAGTTGAGTACACCTTCGGCTACAAGAGGAATGCGGATGACAAGGTGCGCATCTGCCTCCACCACTCCTCAGTGCCTTTCAGCCTTCCTCCAACTTCCCATCTTTCAGCACAAGAAGTCAAGAATGCGCAGACAGCATGGGCCTGCGCTATCAAGAGTATCTCCCAAACCTACCTCGATGGAGGAGACTACGTTGCAGCTGCCGCCAGAGCAGCTGGTGAGCTGTACGGCTACGGCCACACGGACGTGCTCTTCAAGCCAACCAAGGCAGCCGACGCACCATTTCGACCAACTGCTGAAGATGCCATGTCCTACTTTGTTGGGCATGAATCTGTCGAGAATGGCCATGCTGAGGATGCTGGCTTTGCCATCAATGGTGGCAAGGGATGGTCTGATGTGGTTTTTGACAACCACAAGATTGATATCACTGGCAACACCGCCCTTGCCATGGGCACCTACTTCTTCACCAGCGCTGCAGATGGGAGCAAGACCAAGGTGGAGTACACGTTCGGATACAGGAAGAATGCGGACGGCAAGGTGCGCATCTGCCTCCACCACTCGTCGGTGCCATACAGCATAACCCCAGCCTCTCCAATTGCCGAGATTACTGAAGCGGAAGTGAAATGTGTGCAGGGAGCATGGGCCAGGGCTATCAAGGGTATCTCTCAGACCTACCTTGAAGGAGGCGACTATGTCACTGCTGCTGCAAGAGCAGCTGGTGAGCTCTATGGTTATGGCCACACAAACGTGCTCTTCAAGCCAACCAAGGCAGCCGCAAAGCAGTTTCGACCAACCGGCGCAGATGCCATGTCTTACTTTGTTGGGCACAAAGCGGTCGAGAATGGCTTTGCTGAGGATGCTGGCTTTGCCATCAACGGTGGCAAGGGATGGTCTGACGTGGTGTTCCAGAACCACAAGATCGATGTCAATGGCGACGTCGCCATTGCCATGGGCACCTACTTCTTCACCAGCGCTGCAGATGGAAGCAAGACCACAGTTGAGTACACCTTCGGCTACAAGAGGAACGCCGATGGCAAGGTGCGCATCTTCCTCCACCACTCGTCAGTCCCGTATAGTCTGCCTCCCACCGCTCCAACTGCGGATATTGCCGAAGAGGAAGTGGAGAGTGTGCAGGCAGCGTGGGCCAGCGCCATCAAGAGTATCTCCAAGACCTACCTTGATGGAGGAGACTACGTGGCAGCTGCTGCCCAAGCAGCTGGTGAGCTCTACGGCTATGGCCACACAAATGTGCTCTTCAAGCCCACCAAAGCAGCTAAGGCACCGTTTCGACCAACCGGCGCAGATGCCATGTCCTACTTTGTTGGACACAAAGCTGTCGAGAATGGGTATCTTGAGGATGCTGGCTTTGCCATCAACGGTGGAAAAGGATGGTCTGACGTCGTTTTTGACAACCACAAGATTGACATCACTGGCAATGTGGCCATTGCCATGGGCACCTACTTCTTCACCAGCGCTGCAGACGGGAGCAAGACCAAAGTTGAGTACACCTTTGGCTACAAGAAGAATGCGGACGGCAAGGTGCGCATCTTCCTCCACCACTCTTCTGTGCCTTACAGCCCTGCCCAAGCCTCTGCAACTACCGAGGTTTCAGAAGATGCAGTAGCAACTGCCCAGGCAGCATGGGCTAGCGCTATCAAGAGCATCTCCAAGACCTACCTTGATGGAGGCGACTATGTTGCAGCTGCCGCCAAAGCGGCTGGTGAGCTCTATGGCTATGGCCACACAGATGTGCTCTTCAAACCCACCAAGGCAGCCGAAGCACCATTTCGACCAACCGGCGCAGATGCCATGTCTTACTTTGTTGGGCATAAGGCGGTCGAGAATGGCTATGCTGAGGACGCTGGCTTTGCCATCAACGGTGGCAAGGGATGGTCTGACGTGGTGTTCCAGAACCACCAAATCGACGTCAGCGGCAATGTTGCCATTGCCATGGGCACCTACTTCTTCACCAGCGCTGCAGATGGGAGCAAGACAAAAGTTGAGTACACCTTCGGCTACAAGAGGAACGCCGATGGCAAGGTGCGCATCTTCCTGCACCACTCGTCGGTGCCCTATAGTCTGCCTCCCACCGCCTCAACAGCAAAGGTTTCTGAAGAGCAAGTGAAGAGTGTGCAGGCAGCATGGGCCAGCGCCATCAAGAGTATCTCCAAGACCTACCTTGGTGGAGGAGACTACGTTGCAGCTGCCGCCAAAGCAGCTGGCGAGCTCTACGGCTATGGCCACACAAGTGTGCTCTTCAAGCCCACCAAGGCAGCCGACGCACCATTTCGACCAACCGGCGCAGATGCCATGTCCTACTTTGTTGGGCACAAGGCGGTCGAGAATGGCCATCTTGAGGATGCTGGCTTTGCCATCAACGGTGGCAAGGGATGGTCGGACGTGGTGTTCCAGAACCACAAAATCGACGTCAGCGGCGACGTTGCCCTTGCCATGGGCACCTACTTCTTCACCAGCGCTGCAGATGGGAGCAAGACCAAGGTTGAGTACACCTTCGGCTACAAGAAGAATGCGGACGGCAAGGTGCGCATCTGCCTCCACCACTCGTCAGTGCCATTCACTGACAAGTCAAAGGTGCAGCCTGCAACGGTGATGGGCCAAGTTTCCGAACGGCTTGTCGGCGCATAGATTGGAACTCTGAGCTTCTTTTGGTCGAGGTTTTAACTTCGCATCTTCCTTGCAGCCGGACGGTCAGTGCAAGCTCTGGCCTGGTCTGGTCTGTGCCATTTTCTGCTTTTTCTTGGCAGTGAAGCCACAATTTTCTTAAGGAACTTAATTCGACACTTGCCCAAGAGCGAGGACGAGGGGTGAACGTTTGCAGCGAGCCAAAGAGGCTAAGGCCCGGAGCTCCTCAATCAAGCAGCGCAGCTTTGCACAAAGCTTGCGGCGCAAGCACAGATGCCGTGAACGGCTGAGTAAAACCGAGTAAACGTTCAGTGCGTTCGGCCGTGCAGCTTCAATCTCAGCCGACCCCACCACAGAGAGGTCACAGAGACTGCCTGGAAGCTCTCGAGGTCTGCTGAGTCTCCTGCTTGATGCTGATGGGCTCCATCTGTCGCGGGCGGGGCACCAAGGATGCCCGAGCGAACATGCTTGTTGTCCAGAGATTGGGATGACCGAAATCAGATCAGGCTTTCAGCGGTGGATCACTTCTGAGGTGACGAGGCTGACATTGTGATCGCGTCCTTGGTCGTGGACGAGTACTCTCGCGTACCTTTGGTGAAGCTCGTGAACCGGATGATCCTTCTGCTTTCGCGCGCCAGGCTAGGCATGTACGTTCTGGGTTTAGGAGGCTACGTCGAGAACTACCGCCAAGAGATCGGACAATGGCAGAGGACCGTCACTTGAGGCAGGAGCCTCGACCCTAAACCCTAAACCCTAAACCCTAAACCCTAAACCCTAAACCCTAAACCCTAAACCCTAAACCCTAAACCCTAAACCCTAAACCCTAAACCCTTAACCCCTAACCCCTAAACCCTAAACCCTAAGCCCTAAACCCTAAACCCTAAACCCTAAACCCTAAACCCTAAACCCTAAACCTCTAAAACCCTAACACCCTAACACCCTAACACCCTAACACCCTAACACCCTAACACCCTAACACCCTAACACCCTAACACCCTAACACCCTAAAGCCTAAAGCCTAAACCCTAAACCCTAAACCCTAAACCCTGAACCCTAAACCCTAAACCCTAAACCCTAAACACTAAACCCTAAACCCTAAACCCTAGGGCCTAAAGCCTAAAGCCTAAAGCCTAAGCCCTAAACCCTAAAGCCTAAACCCTGAACCCTAAACCCTAAACCCTAAACCCTAAACCCTAAACCCCAAACCCCAAACCCTAAACCCTAAACCCAAAACCCTAAACCCTAAACCGGAGCCAGATGTCCACAGCATCCTCAGTCCACTTTGGAAAAAAGGAGCAACTTGGCTTCTGTGGCGAAACGTGTCAAGTCTGGCTAACGTGCAATCATCGGGATGCGCACGAAGGCCAACATATTTAGGACAAAAGAACAGCATGTTTCGGATCAAAGTTTCATTGATGCGGCGAGATGGCGCTGGATCATCAGAAGCCGGAATGCGGTTTTGTTGTCGACAGACGACCGACCGCCGACGGCGGACGACAGGCGACGGGCGACAGGCGACAGACCAGGCTAGGTATTCGCCTTTGGAGGCCTTGTGAGGCCACTGACCAAGAATCGCAGCTGAACTCGCAGCCGCCGAGGATGCGATGCCGGTTCCGCTCAGCTACAAAGGCCATCGCGAGGGTCCCTGGGTGCTGGATCCGGTGTCTGGGCATCTTGGCCCAACAGGGAAGGGCAGCCTGGAGAGTGACGTCCCTGAAAACTGGAGGCTCCAGAGCTGTTCTTCCTAGTTTGATGTCCTGTGGGGATGTTGAGACTTCTGTTCCTCAGCTCTCTTGGTTGTGTCTGGAGTTTGGGCTCGGGCACTACAGGTGCGCGAGATGCATCAACGCGGAACCTCAAACCCCCAAAGGAGCACCAACAAGAAGCGGGAGTTCACAGATCCCTGAAGCCTCAACCCTGAACCCAAGGTTTCAGGTTATAGGGATTTAGGGTTCAAGGCTACATTGTATCAATTTTGCTGCCATGGTTTCTGCCGGTGATGCATATGTGCTTTTGCTACAGAGTGATGGCCTTGCTGTCGCATATGGAGAGGACGTCGAGGCTACACTGTTCTCAGAAACATGTTATGTCATTTCTTTAAGGATAAATCCCAAGAAAGGGCTAAACTTCTAATTTTTCATGTCCAAGAACAGTCAAGGAGGGACGCTGCAACATCCCGGAATTAAGGGATGGACTGGCATATACCGAGGCGGGCACGTTTCAACACAGGGTCCCGCTGTACACCCCCTAAGACTAACAAAACTAGCCCCCAAGCCCTGAAGCCCTAATAATTGCAACAGCAGTAGAACCAGCAGCAACACTAGCAGGAAAGATGATAACAATGAAGCTCTAAACAGGACGTCCCTAAGTTCGAGAAACGCCCCAGGCTTCTGCGGGTGGCAAGCACTCAGTTCTCCTCCGAAGTGACGGCCATGCCGTTGCAGTTGGAAGGAATGCTGAAGGGCAATGTAATATCCCGCCTTTGGAGGACGGAACAAGATATGTCCACGTTTCTTGCCGGTTTGGTTCGAAGGGAATGAAGGATGGCACTGGTAGTAAGAGTACTGGTTGTAAGAGTAAGTATGATGATGTCCTTCCTCTTCATTTTGCCCACTAACCAACAGTAAGGTTTGTGCAGGGGAAAACCATACGGTGCTCCTCCGAAGTGATCGTCGTGTTGTGGCTTGTGGAGAGAATGGTAGCGGACAATGCAACATGTCTGGAATCGATGGGGAAGTCTCATATGCCCAAATTTCTGCCCAACAGTTTCATACCGTCCTACTGCGAAGTGATGGCACTGCTGTGGCTTGCGGACAGAACTTTACTGGGGAATGCAACATTCCTGCTTTGGATGATGGGCTGTTATACACCCAGGTTTCTGCTGGCGCTTGTCACACAGTGCTTCTGCGAAGCGATGGTAACGTGGTCGCGTGCGGAAGCAAAGCACATGGGCGATGCAACATACCAGCGCTGCCGGCAGGAATGGCATACACACAGGTATCTGCAGGGTGGAGTCACACAGTGCTTCTACGAAGTGACGGTAGCGCTGTTGCTTTCGGTCTAGATCAACATGGGCAATGCAGGATTCCGCCTCTGGATGAAGGAGTGACATACATCGACATTTCTGCAGGAGGCCGTCAGACGGTGCTCCTTCGAAGTGATGGTCATGTTGTCGCCTGCGGATTGATTGGCGCAGGACAGGAAGACATTCCGTCCCTCACTGGTGCCGGAGAGCAAGACACTCCGTCCCCGGAGCACGGACTTTCCTACGTGGGCGATTTGACAGCTGCGCGAAATTTTGTGCTGCAACTCCAAGTTGTTTGTCAAGATGATCTAGCCACGCTGATGTGCTCGACCTTGGCCGGGGAGGAACAGTTGTGCTTGAAGGTACCTCTGTCTGATCCAGCCTGGGATTTGCACAGACTCATTGCCAGTAAGCTGACCGCGAATCGCCAGAGACTTCGTTTGGTTTTGCCACATGGACAGATGTTGGCAGATTTCTGTCGCGCACATCCAGCGGCCACAGCAGGCGATCTTTTTAATCCTTCAAAAGGCACGTGGAGCTGAGGTTTGAGACAAGCTCGCTTCGCACTGCAGCCGAAAAGTTGCCTGTCTGATCCAGGGTTGGTGTGGGAATGCCAGCAGTTGCGGACCCTTGTTAGGTTTTGGGGTTTCGGTTTCCTAGATCCAATGTCACGTCATGTGAAGCCGCGTCACACGCGAAGCGGAAAGCTTAATTTGGGAAACATCACCGAGGGAGCGGACAGCGCCAAACAGCAAGTAAAAGCTAGGCGGAAATATGGGAGGGGCCAGGATGGGGGCAGAAAGTCCGGAATATGGTATTTTTCAAGTTTCAAAACTATTTTCATAATTTTATATAAGTTTCCAATCAATTTCAAATTAGTTTCAAAATCCAATTGCAAAATCGTTGTTAAGGGGGAATTTCAATTTCTGTCCGCGCTTTTTGAAAACCAGGAACCTCTGAGATTCCTTCATTTTTGAATTACGTATAGAAAAATACAATTTACTCTTAACAGCGATTTTGCAACTGGATTTTAAACTATTTTGAAACTACTTTGAAATTGCGGAAACGAATTTGAAACTTGAAAAATGCGGCATTTCTGCTCTTTGGCACTTGGCCACGCCCGAGCAAGAGGAGAGTTTAGTTCGACTTGAAACTATCAAAAGTACATCTCCGATATTCTTCCTAAAAACCATTCCAACAACAACTCTCGCTAACAAATCAATAAATTATCTTGTCCGAGATTGTGGATGGACAATTTCATGACGGTTAATATTATGGCTACGTATACAGAAACCAAATGAAATGTGACTCCGAAAACAATGGCGCAAGAGACGTATGCTCCCAAAAGCACCAATTAAACATGAATCCTCTATAGAGACGAAAATAATGAAGGGACTGTTGTAGCCTCACAATGGACGAAGAGAGACTTGATGCTCGACCACATCCTAAAAGAATTAACTGAACAACCAGCGTCTCGGATGATCACAAAACACCATCCATACGAGTCCTCAAATTCTCTTCTATGCATTCAAACGCCCACCACCACCCCGAATTAGAAAAGAACTTGGAGACTCGCGTCACGATCACAAGCAAACCGAGACCCCAACAAATGGCCATAGACTCAACCAACTCAATCAAATCTTGGCTCATTCAATAGTCAACAATCCTATATAAAAGGGATCAGGCTCATTCAATAGGCGACAATCCTACGCAAAAGGGATCATCCTGACAACAAGCCATCGCATCTACGACCCATAGATCCTATCATGTCTCGCACGCCGGACTACCACCACAAGTCTGCATACACGCCCGGCGTTGCTTCTGAAACGTAAGATGCAATCCTCTTTGCAAATCAATCGAGATGCGAATGCGCAACGTGCGTTGGGCACGACCCTTCTGCAATCCCTGTTTCGTATCGATCGCCTCACAAATCATCTGCAAGTGGCGTTGTCCTTCCAAGGCCAAGCCCCCCGTAACTTCGAAAACGATCGGCTCATACCCCACATTCATGGCTTCGCACCATTTCCCACAATCCTTCAAATCGATTTTATGCTTAGCATACGTATTTGCCGCTGAAAGTTCCACACTCGCTGAAGTAGCCAAGTTCGTAGCAAGGAATGGAGATATAATAGCAAAATCGAATGCTAATCGTGGGAATTGTCGCCAGGAAGACGCGACGATAGAAGGGGTCGTCATAATCAAGACATCTGCGGGACGAAGTTGTGGATCAGATGGTAATAATCCAGTTGATTCCAAGTTAGGTCGGGCATCTACTAACTCTGCATATCGATATACAATGTTACGTAATGTGTTGTGCATCAATTGCTTGTGTCCCGATGCCATTCACGCTAGACAATGGTATCCACGATTATCGTACGCATGTGTGCACATCGCACATCCACCTCCATCAAGGATGGGCATACCCAACCGCAAGCGCACGGCATCTCGCAACACTTCACTCTGAAGAAGAGAATCCGCCGCCATACTTGGGGTCGCACACAACCATCCATCCGCCCATGGAGCTGCGAAGGCACATAAACGCGCTTAATTGAGGCCATCCGATTGTTGCAACAGAACCTCCTGTGTCTTCTCGTGCAAGAATGCCAAAAGATCGCGTGAGGGCAAACTAGCAGTCGCATATTTGATAGCACCACTATGGGGACCCACGAACGGCTCCAAATGAAGGATGGCCGCGCTTTCAAACGATCCAGAAGCCGCATGCTCTCCCGGCAACATTCCGAGCGCAGCTTCCCTTGTCGCCCGCCGAGAGGTGAGATACGCAAGATCAGCAAGTTGCACGACATGCATGCCTTGCTCAACACGTCCGGTCCCAATTCTAAGTCCTCCCAAATGAATCGGCAACCGCACCTGCAACCACTGATACGCATCAATGATTCCCCAAGGATACTTTCAATAACATTTCGTATACGATCATGACAATAATCGAGCAAAGGTTGCAAGAACGTTCTAGGTGCAAACCGACACAAGTATTGCACGCGTCCAAACGATGCAATGAGTCGTAGCAAATACAACGCAACGTCACATTGGGGTAAGCCCTCCAAGCAAGAATACAATCTTTCTAACTCGAGTTGTTTGTTTTGTCGAAACTCTTCGAGAAAGGCATCTCTCCCCGTCACCGGCGCCTTCAGCACGACCACATCTGTGCCAGCGACAACACGAACTCCGAGGGCCTGAAATCCCGAAATATCCCCTCTAAAGCCGTCGCCCGCCAACAAATACAATGTACACTTTGACAAATCGAAACGTATGCCATATGCCTCGGCCAACTTCAATTCCTGATGGAAGGCCTCCAAGACATCCGCAGCGTCACCTCCAGAGAAGGCATCATCGGTATATTCAGGCTCAAACTCCGGCAACGGCCGTCGGCAATTGGTTCTGGCTTCCGCCACCCATCGAGCACGTGTCAAACAAAACAACGGTCCCATCAAGGGGCAACCTTGTTGTCCACGGGATGATTGCTCCACTGTGCCTCGATAAATGAGATGGACTGGGGCATCATAATAATAATCCACGAATCGACTGGATGATGGCGCCCACTCAGCGCAATCTCTCAAGAATTGACTTGGCAACATCTCATTAAACGCATTCTTCACATCTTTCTGCAACAAGATATAAGAAGGACGATGACAATTACGAAAGATCCACTCACGAGCACTATGAATCATGACATCAGCACCATTTTTGGTTCCGACTGCAACTTGACGCGGAACCAAACGATCTCGAATCGCTGCCCGGTCAATCAAGAAAATCGTCTTGAAAATCAACTTCCGCCAAGTGCATCCCATGACGATGGATCTGGCATCCTCATCAAGAGGAATAATCTTGCCCATAACAGCAACCTTACCGACCCCAATCAATTCACCGCTCGCCACCCACGCGCGAAGATAATCAGGGGCTCGCCCATCAGCAAGCAACTGCACAAAATCTCGCAACACCAAGGCAAATGGGGTGTCTTCAGCTCCTCGCAAAAGCTCACGAAGGAGATCAGTTCGAAGACCGTCAGGCCCCGGCCCGGCCCCTATTTGACCGCTTGAAGCAAAGTGGGCAATGGAAGCTCGGCAGACTGTGGACCTAGGACTCTAGATATTTTATCCGCCTCAGGGCGAAACAGGGAACTTAGACATCAGCTTGGCCCGCACCTGCTCCGTGTCCAATGCCAATCCAGGAGACAATATACGTTTGGTTGCTTGTGACGTACGACCCAAAGCAACTAAGCGCTCAACCTCCTGCGGCCGCGCAACCGCCGAATGAAGCGCGAGGTGTACGTTGAACTCGTGCCGAGGCGGTCGCTGCCGCCTCCGCCCATAAGGCCCCGCGATCGCCCAATTGCCATCGGAGCAAAAGCGCTTTAGTAAACGCATAGGCTTACTGAGGTCTCTGGCCCCGACGCGACTACCGTAGCACATACTTCGGAACATCAAAAAATGAGTCTACGCCTCCTTGCCGTCCGCACTAGCGTTACCGTCTGCTCCGCGCTCGCCCTTGCGCAAAACTACAACCAACAAACGTCCCAACTCCTCACGAATCAAAGGAATCAAATTTGATGGAATATGTTCTTTAGTCCGGATTGGATCACTCCAAATGGCTCGAAAGGCCGGCAACTCTGCATCGCCCTGAGCTACCCCATCTCGGCGAACTCGTTCCCAACAACGAGACTGGACGCCTCCGTGAATCCTGCACGACGCCGACAAGCCGCACACGCGGCATGGTACGAGCTGACGTTGTGAGAACCAAATCAAATCCGGTCTCCCAGGTAACTCTCCCGACAAATGCAGAGTAATATGCGCCCACAATGTATCGCCACTCCGCCATGGCGGTCCACCCATATCCCGATGTCGAAAATATCTTGTAATTGGGCAATAATGGGGCCCGGCTTTGACGTCCTCCGCAACCGGATGGGGCATAGGTATATCCTGAGCACCCGGATTTGAGATAAGAACATCTTGGACGCACACCCCAAAGAGGTCCACCAACATGTCTTCCACGTCGGGGCTTACACCGGCTCCGCCATCCCCAGGAGCAGAGGCTCTTCCATTTGCTTTGCTCTCACCCATCAACTTCCATCGGAGAAGATTCAACCATGTTCAATCGTCGGAATGATCGAGATTCAGGGTGCGTGGGGAAAACAAACGTACTCCCACAAAGGCATAATCTCGCGAACGTGGGCATATCTACGGTCATTCAAGACATCATTCCTGACGAGAAGTATCTACAAAGCGTAGGCGGCAAATATTTGTCTCGATTCCACCCATAGATTCCAAGCAGAAGAACAATCCCTCGAAATCCATCCCACATACTTCCAATCCAGATTAAAAGAATTCCAAAGTAAACAAACTACACGCAACTCCTCAGAGAAAAGGAACCCTCAAGAATCCACTGTAACCCTCTCATATCAAGAACCACTCTTCCAAATCCTGACGAGCACCTATTTACTCCCCACGCCGAGACGGCACATGAGCGAAGATGATGGAGGCAGAACAATTACCCAGATTGAATCCAATGACTTCGAACGCTCCACAAGTGGACGTATTGAAGGGGCATCCGAGCCCTGAATCTAGTCGCTGGCCAACACCACGGATCGCCATGTTTCCCGCTGCCCCTCATTCCAATCCCAAGACAAAGAAGGCAAACCAATGCGACTCCATGCCGCCGTCTTCCCCACATGTATCCTGTACGTCTCATCTGTCCCCTACGTCTGCCCGAAAACCAAGCCCAAGCAAGCCGCAGCAAAAGAAGCACTGCAACAATCCAACCCTGCGGAGGGGGGGGTGGCACCATTCGCCGCCGGCGCTCCGTCAGCCCCGCCGCTGCTCAGGACACATGCGGCTCCCATGGCTGCATGGCTCCATGCCACTCAATCCGTTTCCGGTTCTAGGCAAAGGCGCGTAAACGCGCCTGATTGAGGACATCCGACTGTTGCAACAGAACCTCCTGCGTCTTCTCATGCAAGAATGCCAAAAGATCGCGTGAGGGCAAACTAACAGTCGCATCTTTGATAGTACCACTATGGGGACCCACGAACGGCTCCAAATGAAGGACAAAAAAGAAGATTAAGATCCTCAAGAGACTTCTACTCGAGAATATCCTAAATGAAACTTAGAGGCAAGATACAAACGATTTCTACGTCCAAAAATCCCCGGTATCCTAATTAATGATCTATTTCAAAGATCAAGATATATATCATATTCGTGCATTGAAGACAAAATCGTTCAAATACATATGAAATATCGTATATAGAGAGCATCGAGCGGAGATCATAGAACCTCGATGAAGAAATTCACCGTCTTTGCTCCATACACTCTCAGGCCCACCACCCCGAATGAAGTTGCTGGCCATGAAAACACAAGTATGGAAGTTATAATACGGATCTGGAGGGATTTTAAATTCCCCAGAACCCTTCTTTGTAGATTGGATGATCCTCTTCGGTGGTTTCAAGGCGCAAGAGACTTCTGCTCCCAAAAGCGCCAATTAAGAAAGGAGATATAATATGAAGAGAATACGACATCTTCTACGTCCGAGAACCCCAGAAACAAAAATGGGACCAAACAACCAAGAAGAGAATACGTGGAACGAATCCATACTCGAAGACAAAGACGAGATTCTAAAACCCGATCATAGGCTATTGAATGGATCTCCTATCATCTATTTGGAAAGCGATATTTCAGCCACGATATCCCCGCCAATGTCGCGGGCCGCAATATACGCCAATTGGGCGCGTTATTGCACACATGCCTGATAATATTAAGAGAATACGAAGGCTTCTCCGGTATGAAAACCATATTGCAAATTCAAAGAGATTCTTTCGTAGAATTTGTCTTTAGACGTATCGCTCCGTAGCCCAAATCTCTCGTCCGCGGCGCGACAATTTATAATTATTAAATTATCACCAATGAATACTTATTTAGATAATATTTTTAATGTCACTTATATATCATAATATAAGATTTCTTTCAAGATTCATATCATTTGATAAAATATCAAATGAATTAATCCAAATGGAAAAGTTTTTCTTAATTTTAGTATTGTCATCAATATATTTTAAATTATCAAATAAATTATTTGGAGAAATAGATATGAATTCGAAAGATATAATATCCTCATTTTCTTTCATATTTTGATCAAAATTCATTTTGATCAAAATCTAATAAATTCCTTTCATTTCTATTATCAATTTCTTCTAAATCATTAAAATCATATTCTTCATGACTATTTTGATCGTTTCATTAATTAAAATTTGATTATAAATCATTTCATATTCATCAATAATCTTGATTTGATATTCATTAATATTATCTTCTATTTCATAATCAATAATATTTTCATTTTGATATTTTCTATCTTCTTCATAATTATTATATATGATAAATATATAGATAAATTAGAAGATAATATCATAAGAAATATGAAAGAAGAATATGATTTAATACGCAAATTTGATTCTGATCCATATGCAAATATATTTGATTCATCTATATTTCAATTAATATTTAAGATTAGAATTATTGGAGATTGATGAAATGGAAGAATTTATTCATATAATTTTATGGTTGGTTTTATAGAATTCAAAATATTATTCGCCAGATATTTCTTTATCGATCATATATCTTTGATTTCATATATATCAATGATTTTTTCCACGATTTTGAGAAGTTGAGATATTATTTCTCATAAATCTTAATTTTGATCTCTTGCACCGAATTGATAATATAACATACATAGGTTGCCATGAAAGAGATCCATCGATAGATATCGATGACATATTTCTTTGCATTTATGATATATAATTCGTATTTCTGGGAATATAAATTTCTCGTACGATATCCTTCAAATTTGAATATTTCGGAACCTCTTTTTTTCATTACATTCCATTGCTAAAGAAATAGATCAATTCTAATATAATATAGATATCATGAATATTATATAATTTTCTTCATTTAATGATGATTCATTATCATTTAATAATGAATAGAATTCTCGAAATAATACTCAATTCTCTTATAATATACAATTTATTATGATAGAAATCCATAATTTTTCAATATGAAATCTAAAATCTTTTTTAGAAATTCAATTATTCGTCTCTGTCCCTAATTAGACTAGAAATAATCATCCAGAAAGATCTCTTTCTTAGGCGAAATATCTGAAAAGATATAAGAATCTTTTCGTAATTATGACGACTTAAATATAGTCTCTGAAGATTTGAAAGAGTTTTTGGATTGAGAAATCCTTCATACCGATTATTCAAGATCTTTAATTTAAGAGACCTTATAGCATCCGAATCTTTGATTCTCAAAAATCTAATTAATAAATAGGTAAATAAATCCTCCAGAATAGAAATATTGAAATAACACATCCTAAAAATTAATTCCAAATAATTCTTGATTGACCCCATATCCTATTGAGTCGATATCGAAAAGAATCATTTTGGAACCAAATTCTCGTATTGAATCCCATATATGAAAATAATTCCTAGCTCGATCATTTCATCGATATTATAATCATTATTAAAATAATCGACCCATTTCATTATTTCGTATAGATAACAAATGGTCTTATCTTCAATAATAATCTTTCATAATTTCGAATGTGATAGAATCCCATATATATGGTTTCATGATATTTCCGACAATCGGCTCAAATAGAAGAAGACGCAGCGAGAAACAAACATCACAATTCTTGACTCCTCTGCAAATCTCAAAATCGTCTGCGCAGCCAAATGTCTGCACATCCGAGACATTCATGCATCTGAAAATTGTTTTTGCTGCTTTTTTGCTTTAGAACATCAATTTCATATTATATGAATATATCATTGATAATAACATAATCATTGAATAATCAGATTCATAATCAAGAATTGATATATAATGACCCAATCAAATCATAAGATCATATATTCGATGTGAAATTTTCAAATTTGGGAATCTATTTCTATATGATTAGATCTGCAAGCAATAGCAACTTCCAAACACCACCACAGGTGACAGCAAAAACTGACGGTCGCGAGCTCCTTTTCATTTTTCGGCTCAGAGGGTCTTGCCACAGTCTAGCCTTCAGCCGTCAACGCTTGAGCTGAGCTCCGATGCTTCTTGTAAGTTCTCTATGAATTCAATACATACTTCCTGTACAAGTTCACGGCCATGAGAGGCAATCACGCGAACACCATACCCAATTCCCAGCCATTGGCCCGCCACACGCCGCCGCCTTACTGAGAGCCGGCAAAGAGCAAGCGGATCTCATCCAGGAGTACCTCGGGGCCCATCGAAACTTTGATACCAAATGCGCTGGCAATCACTGGCACCCCGACATCACTTGCGGGCCTTTCGGTATCCCAACTCCTTGATCCCCAGCTCCTCCTTCAAGTCGTTCCTGGGCAGATGCAAGCTGCTCAAAAAGGGCTTCAGGGCTAAGTTGCGCCAAGCGTCGCTGTGATCTGCGGCAGAACTGCTCCGTCAATCTGGTGGAAACTGAAGCTCGGAGCATACCTTGCATGAAATGCACATATCCTATACTCCGCTCAGGACACGTTCAACTGCCGCCCCCGCGCGTCCCCACCTAGCGACCCAGTCGTAGCCGAGGCGGTGGAGCCACGCCTCAGCCAGACGGCAAGGCGCATGTTCAACAGACACATTTCAATTCTTACCTCGCCACCAAGCTGCCACAACTTCCTCGACGCTCCAGTCTGTTGGAGAAGAGGACTTGGACGGCTTGGAATCCGAGCGTCCTGCGCTATAGTGCCATTGGAAAGCTTGGCTTCTTACCTAGGCCCCGCACTGCGTTCGCTTGGCCCGCGCCTGCAATGCCAGCTGCGTCTGCGGCGCTGTCGCTGCAGCGGACAGCAGTGGCGTTTTCCCTTGCCTCCAAGGGGCCTTCCAGCCAAAATCCATCCAAGTCTGCCTCCAAATCTCTGCCCGACCCTGCGCAGCTTCTGGGTGTGGAGATGTCGAAGCTCTCTGGCGCAAGCTGGCAGTTGTAGCCACACAGCTGGGCTTGCGGTGGGCAGTGGGTCGGGGCAGGGAGGCCCGGTGGCGGGCGAAAAGCAAACGGAGCAGACGCGTCTGCTCGCTCAGAATCGGAGAAGCTAGCACGCTCCGCTTCGGACACGCTGGAATCGGAGCCATCCGTCAGCTGGCTCCTCGCGGTAGTTGTCGGGGTGGGTGGGTTCTGGAGACTCTGGAGAGTCTGGAGACTCTGGAGCTTTGCCACAGAGGCCGGCAAAGGTGGCGCTTTCAGCTTCTCGGCGGAGCCCGCAGACGTGGTGTCTACAGCTTCAGCAGCATTCGCAATGGCCTCAAGAACGGACAGAACTGCTAAGCGCTCACGTACAACCCTTGGCAAGCCGCGCCCTGCGCAGCCTCAACACGGCGGCACAGCACAGCATCTCGCGGCGGCTTGAAGAGGTCGGTCCTTGGGAACAACATGGGCAACGCTGAAGCAAGACACACGAAATATTGAACTGTCGACGAAAATCCACGATGCCAAAAGCCGAGCAAAAAGCCGAGAGGCAGGGGAGTCTGGAAGCGGCGCACTCGATTGATGCAGCCATTCCTGAGTCTCCAGACATGGCGGACACGGACGTCGACAAGGAACTCACGTCTGCCTCCTGTCATAACTGTTCAAGGCCCGTCTCTGGTACTTGAAAACGGCCTTGGAGCCATCTTCGGGGTTCCAGGCACGCAGGCGAGCGTTGACCTGCAGAGTTCGCATCGCGGATTGCGACCATGCATCGCAGACCACATCCAGTTCCGTACCCCGCCTGCTGGCAGAGCTGCTGCCACACCGAGGCAGGATAGGTGCCCTGTCTCGGCATCCTCAGCATTGGCAGCGTCTGCAACATCTCACTGCCACGCTCATCTCTGATGCCGACGAGCGTCTTCTCACCAGTTGTCCTCTGAACGAAGTCCATGAGCACCTTGGCCGTGATGTTGAAGAAGATCATGCCGTCGTTCTTCCACAGGCGCAGAAAGTCCTGCAACTGCAAGCTGACACTTCATGAGCGCTCTGCGGCAGCGGTGAGTTGCAGGGCCAGCGGCTGGCGCAGGCTCGCGGTCACTTTGGATTGAGAGCGGGAGCCGACGCATGCCCCCAACACCTCCATTGTCCTGGATCTGGCGGTCTGTGAGCTGCATCATCGCCTTTCCAAGTCACAGGCTGCCCGTGCTTTCATGAACTTGCTTTGTGGTGCCCCCCAAATAACCCCCGCACCTGGGATGTCAGATCGGTTTGCAGAAATACGGGGGCTTGAGATACTTGCTGCTGCGATCATCGCATGATGCTCTGCGCACCGCCGCACTTGCATGCTTGCCATCTTGGACTAGCCACCGCTTATCGGGTTTCCCTGCCCACACGGAACTATCAGTAGGCTAAACTCAAACAAAGGACAAGAAGGCTGAGTACTTGTGGGCCAGCACCACCTGCACTGCTAGACATATCCAAGAATCTATGGCATGGCCCGAAGGACTAAGGACCCTAAAAGCAAGACAACGAAGAAGCAACGGCTGGTCCTGGGAAGTGCAACTGTGCAAGATAATTCGACGGAGTCTACGAAGACTCCCTGCCAAAAAGTCAAGGATTCCCAGGTCCGAAAAGCTGGCGCTGTGTAGAAGAGCAGGTTATAAAGGAAAGCTTTAGATTTGGAACTGGGCTTGACAAGAAGAGCCGCGGTCACAGGACCTGCAGATACCTGCGCCACATCGGCATGCCAAGAGTACCTCGCTTCCCATCTGACTTGCAGCCCCCCCCCCCCCCCCCCCCCCCCCCCCCCCCCCCCCCCCCCCCCCGAAAAGAGAAAAAAAAACACGTGGCTTCAAGCAAAGAGAACCCACAACAACACAAACCTTTCCAAGACTTTTCCGACGGAGGCGAGGCTCGGCGAGTCTTTGAGCAGGTCTTGCAAGAGTCCTGCCTGCTAAGATTGCCGGCCGTGTTGGCGGCGGAGATGCTGCCGACTACAAATGCTCAAGATTGCTTAATGACGGTGCTCAGAAGAACTGCGGATCAAGTCGATGCGAAGAGCCTCTGAATCTCTGCGAGAATGACCTGAGGGAAGAGGAACTCACAAGGCACACAAGGCACACTCACCCCGTGACCCCTGCTTCTACTCTATACTTCTTCGAGATCGTTGACATGCTCTCTACTTCGAGCTGCTCCACATCCTCTCAAAATTAAGCCCGCCGGGGCTCTCTACTTACAGATCAGCTCGCAGACAATCGGTAAATGCAACACCATGGTGCTGCGCCTTTCGTGGGCCAAACGCTTTGACGTCTAGCTCGTCTCGCAAGTCGTCGTTGGTGAGGTCGCGCAGCGCGCGTCCGCCGACCTGGTTCTCACGGAAGCTGTCCACGTACCTGGCACTAACAAAAGCTAGTGCAGCAAGTCCAGTCAAACATTTCAAGTGGCTCTCGAAGCAATTCGAAAAATAACTCTGCTGCTCTCGCGCATCAGGCTTGAGTCGGCCTCTGCCATTGGCCAGCACCGTTGTCCAGAGCTTGGAGCCACCTGGCCACATCCTCCGTACTCCACGCCACCGGCTTCACTGACTCTGCTGACTCTGCCGGGCCCTTTCGGTTGGGACAAGCAAGCGACGCGGGAACGTCTGGCACGTTTGGTGCTTCCGGTGCTTCGGGCGCCGGTGCGTCTGTCATGGATGCAGACTCGCCGGCATCTGAGGCAGAGGTCGTCGCCTCATCGAGTTCTCCCTGGAGTCCCTCTTCTCCGAGGTCCTCTGGCTCTTCTTCAGACGCGAAGGCTGCGAATCTCCCCGATGCACAAGCTGCAACGCTCGAAGTTTTCGAGGTTTCGGGACTCATTCGCTTCTGGTCTTTCTTGGCCATCCTCTTGCTGGGAGGGTCCCTTGCCAGACGCCTGAGTGACGCAAGCAGGTTCTCATCGTCCTCACCAATGCCTGGGGCATGTGGATCCAGCGGATCCTGGCGGAAGCGCCGTTCAAACGCTGCACGCTCGCCATGAAAAGCGTCGCGGGCTTTGCATTTCAAGTGGCTGTCCTCAGGGTCCTTGCCGCAGAACAGGCACTTGTGCCGGTGGGTACAGCATTTCTTGCAGCAGCCATTGTCGAAGAGGTTGAAGGGGACGCAGATTCTTGAAGCACACACGGAGGTAGCTGGCTGGCTGTTCAATATGGCAAGGGTTGCCACATACTGCTCCAGCACCTGTCCCTGAACCCAAACTCGGGTAGACCAAAAGGTGCCCAGCTGGTCTCTTTCATCGAGCTCCGCCTTGGACATACCGGCAAGCTTCATGAAAAATGCGCGAAGCCTGGGAAATTCCGACTGGAACACCTTCCGCGTGAGCTCCTCCACCTTGCGCACCATCGCGAAGAGGTCTAAGACTCTGGGACAGGGGAGGTCCGTCTATACCGGGTTTGACACCTAAAGCGCTTGAGTGCTTGCCTTCGGCGCGGCACAATCGCGACACGCGACAAAAGTTGGAGATGGGCATCATCGTGCTGGACGTGCGTCAGAGAATTGCAGAGGCTGCATCGTGGCACTGTCCTTTGCGCTTGACACACACATACAAACATTTACATACTTACACGCACTTACACACACTACTTACCCTTGCTTGGTCATTTAAGGGTCATTTGGGGGAGCAAGCTCTGTCTGCTTTTGATATGCGCGTTTGGGTCGACCCTCGAGATGCCCAACTGCGTCGAGCCCTAGTCCTGCGTCTAAGCCTGCTTAGCCTGCTGTTGAAGTGGAGGTCCACTGGGCTGTCTGGCTTTAAGTGTGCCACTCTTGCCCCGGCGACTTCATCAAAATGTGAGCTGAGGGTAGGGCTTGCATGGTTTGTGGCGTGTAGGATGGTCTAGCACTCCGTAGGAGCGAACAACGTTCAAGGCTCACGGGCTGCTTTCCTGCGCTGGAGCCGAGTCTTGCAACAGTCTTGCCTGGTCCACCATCCTGCGCTACCCTTGCCGATCCCGCACTGTACAGGGATGGCCTCATCCTGTGAGAGGCTGCGATTGTCACTATATGAAATAAACTCAACTATTTTATTTCCACAGCTCCACCCTCATGCGAAAAGCTTCTGAATGGCCACTGTGAGGGCCTTGCAGAGTGGGCAGGCCGGCTGACATGGACTTTGAAAAAAAAAGACCGGCAGGTCCTATGAGAGTCTGCACTTGGCTGATAGACCACATTGACAGGGCCTTCCGGATTCCCAGCTCGGCAATGCGCAGGTCCTCCTTCATTCTGAAGCAGATCCACAGAAAGCGCATCGGGTCTCACAGAGGGTGTGCCAAGGAGATGTTCAGTCAAATTGCGTGCGGCCGCAAGACAAGGCACCGGCAGCCTAAGCACGCTTCACCCAAGGTTTCACTTGCCCAACGCCGTGATGCAAAGAAGCGTCTTGCTCTGGCTCAAACTCGCTCTGTCCTTGAGCTCCGCTGGTGTAAGGCAGCGAAGTGCTTGCCTGCGCATTCGGGAACCACCGAAACTCGTCTTCTCAAATTGTATTGTGCGTTTGTCTCACGAAACCTCTCAGCCTGCAAGCAGAAACGATAGCATGTCAAGGTGCCCATTGATCTCCTCCTGGCGGAAGACCTCGACATACCTCACGCCCGCGGCTGCACCCTCAAAATCCCTCAAATACCGGTTCGCGTGAGACCGACATCTGCCGAACGCTCAGCCGGCCTGGCGAACTTGCCCTGCTCCGCTTCCGCCAGCCACTTCGCCACCTGCTCGGAGTCCCAGCCTTCGGGGCCTGCAGCGATGCCTTCGGTGCCGGACGAGTCGCCAGAGTCCTCGCCAAAGTCCGCGTCGGCCTCGGAGTTAGAACTGCGGGCGTCCACGTCACCGGAGGTTTGGGTTTCGACCTCGGCGGCGTCGGAGCAATCCAGGGCCGCCTCAGTGATGTCCATGGTCTTCACCCGGCCCCAGCGCCTCAGTCGCTGTGTGTTCAGGGGCTCCCGCAACAGTGCTGGGTTCGGTGGACCCACCGTGGGCTCCTGCGCAAGACATGTAGCAAAACCTTGTTCGCTTAACAAGCCAAACCCTATTCCTAAACGTTGCGATGTCTACGTTGAATGGCACAGCCCCTGGAGGTCGATGTTACTTTTGAAGTGAGCACGCCCGAGAACAAACTGCGGTACGGCTAAACCACCGTGTCCGTGATTGTTGAGAGTCCTATGCTCGACACAAGGCGATGCAGGGCACGCCCATCCCGACATCAGAAGGCAAAAAGAGCCTGGCCCCACTTGTCCGCATTTTCGCGCCCCGCTTCCCGCGTGTCACTTTCAGCATCTAAGCATAGCAACAAACCGCCGCTCAGCTGTCCAGGCGAGACACACACACAAACACAAGCCATTAAACCCTTCTCTTCTGGCCACAGGGCAGACAGGACTGGTTGACGGACATGATGGTTTCGTGGTTATAACGGGTCTGTGTGCACGGGCAGAAATCACGTCTGATGACCATACAGTTTGGCTTAGAGGGTTACAGGGGGTAGCAAACCCAAGGGCCCCCACATGCCGTGACCAGTGCATTTCTTGCAGCCTAAGCTGCACCCCCTCCTTGTCATGGGAGAAGCGGCAGAACCGGCCCTTGGCACAGAAGCCCTGGCTGTAGCGATGGCATGGAAGGGACTTCAGTGGCACAGCCTGGGCAGAGGCATCCGGAAGTCTCAAGTCCTTTCCCCAAAAATTCCTAAATGCCCTCATAGTAGAAGGCAGGGATTCTATAATTGGTCTTACTACTATGGTTTGGGTAAGTGTCCCCCATATAGGTACTTGGGACCCTTTGGGTTTTGGATTGTGAGCCTTTGAACTCGGAAACGCCCAGCACCCCCAGCTTTGGCTCAATGAATGACTCATGAACAGCTTGCCTGGTCGGTCACGTCCTCACGCTGCTCCTCTTCGCTGTGGGCGAACTTGCAGAAGGGCCCGAGGCTGCAGAAACCATCCTGAAGCATGTCGGGCCAGGAACATCATCACTTCAAGTCCGAAATCCTCCCTCTCAAGTTCGCATGCCTGCTGCACGTGTTTTGAAAGGACCACAGCTTGCAGTCCGACCTGGAAGTGGCGCTGGCAGAGGCTGGTCTTGTACTTCAGCGCCTCCTATTCGCGGGACAAAGGCGCATATAAACACCGGCATTCACACACATATGCGCACACGCACACGTACGTTTACAATCTTGTCATATCTTTTCTGCATGTCCGTCCCGCGTTGGATAACAAAGCTGGCTTCCAGACTCCAAGATGTGACTCCCCTGTGAGGATCACCCAATCAGAAGGCCCTCGGCCCTCAACCGCCACCTGCTACCTGATTCCCAGTGAAACGGTACATGGTGTGTGCTGGCCCAGGGTTGGGTAAAACTTTCTTGGAGTTTGGGGACCGAGGACAGTCATTTGACTTGGCTGCATGTCCAACCGGCCTATATTTTAAGCCCAGCTTCACTCATGTCCCAACGCGCTTCAACAACAACGGCTGAGCAATGAAGCTCCTGGGCCCCAAGATCTTCTGGGCCATGGGCGAAGCTGCAATTCCGACCCTTGGCGCAGAAGCCCTCACCTCAAGTTGAGCTCAATTCCGGGTTTTGGGTTGGGCTGCGTTGGGCCACAGTAATAGAAGAAGTAAGCCACAGAGCAGCAAAGTCACGCATGAACGTGTGGCAGAAGTTGGTCTTGCACGCTAGGGCCTGCGATGCGACAGCCGCCGACAGGACTGAAAGATGGGTGGGGGCACCTTTTTCAGGGATCCTGGGGGCTTCCTCGTGCTCCAAGCGTAGGTCCATACACTTCGGCCTGGGTACTGGCTGCTAAAGAAACCTTCTCGAAACATGACGTGATGGCGGAAAAAATTCTGTGAAGTTTTTCCGGCGCGGGTCCTGCCCGTGCTGCCGTAGGTCGTCATCTCCATGCGCAAAGCTGCAGAAGCGGCCTCATGCGAAGGCTCACGTATCTCAAAAGACTCTGACGAGCCTACAACCCTAAACCCTAAACCCTAAACCCTAAACCCTAAACCCTAAACCCTAAACCCAGCTGAGGTATGGGTGTCCGAGGTGCCCCTCTAGGCAAAGGCTACTCAACCTCGGAGCCCCGCATTGAGGGAATATTAGGGTTTAGGGTTTAGGGTTTAGGGTTTGGGGTTTAGGGTTTAGGGTTTAGGGTTTAGGGTTCACTAGCCGACTATGTATTCCGCCTCGGGCGCAGAAGCCGTCCACTGTAAAGAAGCGGCACAAGCTCAACTTGTACGTAGCCGAGGCCTGCTGCAAGCTGCCAAGCCTAAACCACGGCTGAGATGGGTTTAGGGTTTAGGCTTGAGGGTTGGGGATCAATTTCTTCCTCTTCTCGTCTCGCCTGGGCATTCGCATCCTGGATCTGCTCCTCCTCCCCGTGCGCGTACGCGCAGTCTCTGCCCTTGGCACAGAAGCCCTTCAACGTGAAGAAGCGGCACAACTGGTCCTTCGACGTCGCCTCGGGCTTCAGAGCCGCACTTTCTGAGTCACTCTACTCGGAAACAATACACCAAGAAAAAACGGGCTCGGAAACACAGAGAGCATCAGAGAGCCATCTCTCACCGCATCTGGCCTCTTCGACGGCGTCCCTCTTCGCCCCTGCGCCGTGGCCTTGCTGATGTGACGGGCTCGCCGTGTGCGGATTCCTGCACGCCCGCAAGCTGTCGCTCCATGGATCTGCTCCATCTGCCCATGGATCAGCATCGTGCACTGCATTTAGAAGGCGTGCGGGATCTGCTGCGGCCTGCAAAATGGATGAAGATTGCCTCTCAAAGCTACACGACACTACGAGACATCTCAGCCGACCGTCTACAAGCTGACAAGGTGTTTGTTTCGGGCCCTCTCCACCTCTGCCAACCGTTCCTGTTCTTCCCCAGGCCGACCCTCTCGAGCGCTGATGCCGTGGCTCTCTCCGCGCTGCATCATCTTGTTCGGCCCTCGAGGAACCCTTTGGCTCGCCCGTAAGCTGTCGCTCCAAGGATCTGACCCATCCGCCCATGGATCAACAACCTCGTGTGTGTACTGTGCACCGATGACCATCTGAACCCAGTCCAAGTCGCACCCTAAGACTAAGACCCTTGCAAGTCGCATACCACCTCTCGAACAACACGTGCCGCCTGCGTCAGCCCCACTCAGACAACTTGCCAAGCCCTCCGTCAAAGTCCGTCAATACGCTAAAACTCACATTACCTTACCAAGCTGTAATAAGGAGACATAACGCTATGGCATGGTGGTATGCTTGTAATTAACATCTTCTAGCTATGACAAGCATCTTGCCGCTATGATAGGTGGCGGGCGATGTTAGGCAGAGAAACAGCCGTTTGGTACATGAACAAGGTGCAGCAAGTCTTGCCAAGCAGCCGGGCTGACGCCGTCCAGGTTCATTCTGCTGTGAGTCCGTCGGAGCTGTTCGCAATACGGGCCGGCAGGCTGCGGACAAAAACGTGCTTGGCATTCTGCAAAGCACACACCTGTCGTTTGCAGTGTAGTCCGAAGCTGAGGGCAACAATCTACGTAGGCGTCTTGGAAAACAGGGCACACCGGTACGGATCGATTCTTTCTGCTCTGCGTATAGACCGGGTCTTGGAACTTGCAAGAGTCGTGGCACTGGCTTGTCATCTTTGATGCTTGCCATCTGCGCAAGACAGCAACAAGTTCACATTGAGTTCGGATGCCTGCTGTAGCGCTTCCAAACTGGATGAGGGCAAGCTTCAGTCTTGGAGCTTCATGTTAGGTCTAAAAAGCCAGTACGCCTTGTAAACCCCTAAAGCTCAAGCTCCGAACCCTCAAAACGACCCGAAAGCTCTAAACGCTAAAGCCCTGAAGCTCTGATGCCTGACGAGCCGAGCCCCACAGCCCGACGGCAAAGTCTTTGCCGTAAAACGACCCAATTCCAAACAAGCTTCCGACCCTACAGCTCGAAACCCCAAAAACGGCAAGGTCCTCAAGCCCTGAACTGTAAAGATACCCCTAAACCCTAAACCCCAAACCCTAAACCCTAAACCCTAAACCCTAAACCCTAAACCCCTAAACCCCTCAACCCGAAGCCCTCAGCCCTGAAGCCTACGAGCCGGCTGTGTGGATTTTCGCAGGAGGCTGCACCTGGTTTCAGTTGCAGACTCTGGTTGCGGTGTATGGTTGAGGTGATAGGATTTATATGGACTTGCGCTTTAGGATTTCAGGTTGAGGGCTTAAGGCTCAAGGTTTAGGATTAGGGTGAGCAAGTTTGGGGTATTGGGCCCAAATATGGACCCTCTTTTGGGGCGGAAGCGTGAAGGCTCTCCATTTCCTGGAAGGGTCTACGACGCGTCGTCCTCCATATGCATTCGCTCTCGGCAGGATAATCGATGAGCGGGTTCCCCATTGTGGGTAGTGATATAGGAAGTTCGCGGCGATGATGCGCCGCATCAAAAAAGGATAACGGGCATTAAAACATGACTTCCAAAAGCAATTGAAATAACTTCCCTACCGCGCCCTAAGCTTTGAGGATTGGGCCTTATTGGGGCTTACAGGATTTGTGCCTTTGGGTTTTTAGGGCCTTTAGAGCTTGCAGCTTCGGGGCACCTCGCCGCGCATTTGTTTGAAGGGTGCTGAATTTTGTTGCTTAGACTTATATAGACTCACGCTCTCAGAAGGTCCAAGGTGGTTTCGTGCAATAGCTGACCCCCGCGCCCGGGCTTAGGCTTGCTTATCGAGGACTAGTTCTGGCTTCAAACCCCGGCGCCATGCCGATTTCCAGGCCGCTCCTTGCCCGAGCATGGATTGAATCATCTACGACGCCAACAGCCCACCCGATATCGTCTCAGACGAACTGGATGCGACGCGCGGATAGGCGCACATGCACGCGCACAGCTAACCCCAGTTGGACTGTTTTTGAGCTCAGGCTCGAGATCCGAATTTTACAACAAGCTTGTCATGGGAACACGGCGCGCATTTCCTGCTGCCATATATAACAAGGACCTGTTCCACTGATACCCTGTGCGTCATGTGCGGTTGTTGCACTAGTTGAACATCTCCCCTCACCCCTGTCCTCGCAATACCACAGCAGACTGTCGGGATCGAGATGGCTTTTGTGCTTTCGCCTTAGCCAAAGGGAAGCTACAGCTTCGTTCCAAGATGGTCGAACAAGGAAGCATGGCCGCTCTAGGTTAGGGTACGTGGCTGCGACCTTGGCATCGCAACTGAGATGAAGACGTTCCGCAAATCAAGCATTCCCGGAGCTGGTCCATCAGCTTCGACACAGCAAGCTAAGCAGCGCTATGTGATGCGTCTGTGCAACATCCAATCTTCCCCACGTGGCTTGTGCTTTTGTCGTGACTCTGCGGCGTTGCACAACCGGAAACAATAGCAATGCAACAAACGTAACTTGCCGATCGGCCTTGGCGGCGTGTTTGATGGGTTTGGGGGGGGGGGGGGGGGGGCGCGAAAACCTAAACAACATGCTAAAAAGCTGGAGCCGGACCATCAACACAAGCAGCCTCCAAGCGAGGAGCCAAACACTCGAAAATGCTTGCACAGGATCTCTTGGTTTCAGAGCCTTTTGCATGTGTTGCCAACCTAACCTCTTGTGAAACGCGGCACCCTCTTAGAGGGACACTTCTTCCAAGACTTGCCGCACTTCACCGTGTGGTGGCTCCGAAGCCATCTGAATCCAAGATGGATGCTTGGATCCGCGATCCATCATTCATTCGGCCGTCGTAGGCCTCCCCAAGAAGCCAAAGTCCAAATACATCTTGTGTGTAGTGGACAAGGCAGGGACTTGCTTGAAGCCTCCGCTCTCAAGGTAAGTCTTGATCTGGATCAGCAACTTGCTGTAGCTCTCCCGGAAGCAATCAGACTTCAGTGCCTTGCTAAGAGCCCATGTGAAGGCGCCCTGGTAGATGCCCTCGACGTGGGCATCTTCGCTGGTCTCCACATCCTGGCAGCCTGAGAAGACCCAAAGCTGATGATCTTTGTACTTCGGCTGCTTGAGGATGTCGTGGAGGCCGGTGCCCAAGTTGCCCAAGGATCTCTGGGCCTCATCATGCTCCCTTCCCGGCTGCGGGAGAAATCGCAAACGTACCTCCTTCTCGGGATCGCGCTTGTGGCGTTTGAAGGCGGTCTGCTCATCCTGCTCCTGGGATCCGAGGCTCAAACTATCCGAGTAAAGTTAAGACGGCTAAAGGTCACCAGGGTCCGTAGAAACCTGTGCCACGGCTCCTAACGTGACACACAAACCACCTCCACAACACGCTCGACTGAGGCCACTATCTTCGTGTTACAACGGCCCATACAGGAAACCTGATGCCTCATGCACCCGTACAAAACCCAAGGGCCCGCCCTGAACAGCAAGTTAAGGGACCATATTCTTCAGGGACCATGCAAGTACTAGCATTAAACCCTAGCAGGCCTTATCAACCCTAAACCCTGAACCCTAAACCCAAATCCTAAGTGAGGAGCCAGGCTCAAGGTTTCCGATGTAGATCTCGGCACCTTCCCCGGGCTGCAGACTTTGCATGTGTGCCAGCGCTTTTGCCTTCGCTTCGAGGCGCGCCTCCGCATTCTGTACGGAGTCCTTCAAAGCTTGCGACCGTGTGCACTTCGGATGGGGTTGGGGTTTTTAGAGTTTAAGGTTTAGGGGGTTTAGGCTATTGGGGCTTTGGCGGCTTAGGGATGTTTTTTTTTGTTTTTTTTGGATGGGGGGGGGGTGGGGTGTGAACCTTTAACCCAATGTCCTTGAAAAGTGCGGAGATGGAAATGCTCATTAGGTAGTTGTAGTTGGCGGTCGCAGGATCGGAGTAGGGTCCGTACGGTCCCCTCTTTGGGAACTCATGCTTCTGCAAGAGTTGTATCATCTCTTCCCGGCTCTTCTTCTTAATGTCCAGTTTGCCAGAGTTGACCTCACGGTAGAAGCGCACCGTTGCCGCGATCGCATCCTTCTGCCGAGTGAGCTCCTTCAAGTAGGGTTTAGGGTTTAGGGTTTAGGGTTTAGGGTTTAGGGTTTAGGGTTTAGGGTTTAGGGTTTAGGGTTTAGGGTTTAGGGTTTAGGGTTTAGGGTTTAGGGTTTAGGGTTTAGGGTTTAGGGTTTAGGGTTTAGGGTTTAGGGTTTAGGGAGCTCCTTGATCAACTTCTCCTTCTTGGACGCAGTAATGGGCCCCTCCTTCACGACCATCGTCTCGCAAAGGTTGGCCACGGTGGCAGAGTGGCAGCAGTCAAAGATGCAGACCGCTTTGCACCCCGACGGCAAAGGGTCGTAGAGCTTCTTGTGAATCTCAGTGTCTAAGATTACAGACTCTGGCCACTTCCTGTCAATTATCAGGTCCAACGGGCAGATGCAGTCCGACGGCATGCTCTTGTCATCCGCAGAATACTGCGAGCCATGACCGCTGTAGTGGAACACCAACATGTCCCCACTTCTTGCGTCCTGGCAAGTGCTCCATAGCCCAAAACCCTAAACCCTTATATACCTAAACTCTAAACCCTAAACCCTAAACCCTAAACACTGACTGAACCCTGAACCCAGAACCCTGAACTCTAAACCCCTTCTTCGTCCTGGTAGAGCCAGTCCATGCCCTCGAGAATCACCTTCTTGAAGGGCCATCGGCTCCTCTCTTGATCCTCACACGTGCTTCAATTCTTGAACATGTCGCGTAAATCCAAGAATTTAGATCAGCATCTTAGATGCACAACATAAAACATGCACATCTGAGACAACACTAGTTACCAAAATCTAGTCGGTCATGTCTGTACTGGTTGTATATTAACCGGAGGTTGGAGTGGAAGCTTTAGTCAGTTCTTCTCACGAAGAACCTTTCAGAGGAGCAACAATATGTGACTCAGCATGAGTCAATGAGCATACCAATTGCTCCTGTTCCTACAGGTTGCAGGGCGCGCAGCACAAAAAATGACACTCTCCAGGGGACAAGGCAAAATTAACATCAGTTCCGCAAACTGCTTTTGCCATCGTTTGTGGTCCAGTGTGCTGTAGTCCTTGTATAGGAAGTTATGTTCTAGATATGAAAAGCATGTTCTCACCTGAACCCAGTCGTTGGGCATCGGCAGAGGTAGGGAATCCCGAAATTTCTCAACCCGGATGTTGCATCCTCGCTGATCATGAGGATGTCCTCGAGCCGGAAGCCGTATTGCTTCACCAGGATTTCCTCGTGCTCATGAAAGGTTTCTAGGCGCGTCAAACAATCGTTTCTCAACGCTGTCGCTCTTAGATCATCTGCAACCTCCTACGCAGCACTTCATACACAATCGCTTACTGTTGGATGTTAGATCTGTAGGTTCTCTCTGTAGTCTCGGCAAATACGAGCCTGCATGTTGTTCACGTCGTTGATGCATCCACGCAGCTCCGAGCCCGTGTTGCGGTAGTTGATGCCGACTAGCAGAGCTTTCCTTACTTCTCCAATAACCAAGGGGAAAATGTTAAAATCTAAAATGGTTCCTGCTAAATAAGGAAACCCAAAAAGTTTAAAGTTCAATTCTTGGCCAAGTAAGTTTCTTTCGGCCGCTTGAACTCGCTGACACGGCCTCAAAGACAGGCTTCTCCTCGCCGCGTGAACAGCAGCCTGCGTTACCCATGGCTCTGACGAAATCGGCTCTTGATCCTAACGACTCTGCTGTCTGTGGATTTTGGGCGCTCCAGGATGCTGTTCCTTGTGAGTTCGCATCCAAGCTTTGCACCCAATCTGCAGCAGCCATTGTTACATGCTGTAGGACATGTGTCGCTTCTAGCTTCTGGATCCAGCTACAGCAACATCTTCAGCACTCCATCAGCCTGCTGACTGGACTGGGTTGCACCAGCCTTTACAAGTAAGAGAACTCCCTTTCGCACTCCTTATTCTCTGGCAGACGCTGTGGGTGGAAGGTCTTTGCAAGATGCCACGGCGCCACAGCGGTGCCTGACCTGGCCGACCTCTAGTTCATGGTTGGGATAATGTTGAAAATTTAATTCTTTTTTCCTTATTGGGTTTAAGTACCCTTAAAAAAGCAAAATGTTCCCCAACTATGACAAAGACCTAGTTGTAGAAGTCGTCGTAAGAGGCAGGCTTCTTGTCAACACTTGGCTGGCAAAGGCCTTGGCTAGCGTAGAACTTCGGCTTGCGGTCGCAAAGATACGGCGTCTCACGGGCAAGAAGGGCGAGTTTCTCTGTCCATCCGACAGTGCAGTGCAGCAACCCCTCCTCGGTGGCGGCATCTGCTGGCATTAACTTGTCACTTTTGTTCAAAGTTTCACTTTCTGGTAACACACACACGAAATCAGGACTGTGCACCCATGGTGCGTGCTAAGTGCTCCTATAGTGTTTCTCTTCATTCCAACATAATGTTAAAAAGTTGCGTGCCCGGGCTTCGTCGCTCCATCCCATTGGCCCAGCCCAATGGTTGCCATCAGGCCCCGCCACGCAGGAGTGGCCTGCAAAATACTCGCCGCTCACACGAGGCAGGCACGGAAGGTTGCAGTAGGCGATGAAGAGGCGATTCTGCATGGCAGTGGCTGGGATGATCTTTGTGCTGACGTTGGGCTCTGTGTAGGGAAGTGCTGTGGGTACGAGGATGAGTTCCACTTTCTGCAGGGCCAAGATCCTCACCATTTCCGGATACTCAACGTCGTAGCAGATAAGAACCGAAACCCGGATCAGGGCTCCATCCGACAGCTGCAACTTCGCAACGCCGAGATCCTCCACGGACTCTTGTAGCCCTAAGTTCCCTTCGTTGCCCCAGCAGTGGTGCTTTCTGTACCGCATGACCACGGAGCCCTGCCAATCCACCAGCAAAGCCGTGTTCCAATGTGTTTTGTTGGAGGCCCTTTCCGTTTCTTCAATGCTTTCAGCATACCCCACGCAAAGTGCAAGTCCATTCGCTTGCGCGCACTTTCTGATCTCGGATTCGATTCCGCGAGGGTCCAGATCGAAGCCATTCTTCCCAAACAAGTCGTAGCCAGGAAGCATGAGCTCCGGTGTCAGCAAAAGATCGGCACCATTGGCCTTTGCTTCCTCTGCTTGCTTTCGAAGCTGGGATTCCCAGGTTGCGACTTCCGGTGCTTCCAGGGCGCCTTGCCACAAGCTGATGCGCACGGGTCTCTGAAACGACATTCTTAAGATGTCGGCATCACGCGCTTGGATGGCGAGCGGCAAATTTCCAGTACCTCATTAGTCACCTAGTCCAGACAGCTGCAGGTGTAAGGCCTCTTCTTTCAATACACCTATGCGTCTCGACGCACGTACGGCTCTGTACCAGCCCTATGCAGTCTCACCAGTGCGAACGTTAGCTGCTGCTAACCTGCAAGTCAAACTCGTCCTGATCACGAGAGAGCTGCGCATCCCTACACGCAAGCCTGAGAACCGGGTCAGGCTCGGTATCGGCCGGGCGAGATGTCATGTGCCATATCCAAGTGCTGCAACCTCCGCAAGTGCATTAGAGAGTACATCTCGCGCGGAAAAATACTACAGTGACTTGACAGCCGCGCACATGTTCGCAAACTTCCCTTTGGGGCAAACGAGCTGACAGGACCCCGAAGCCTGGTGCAGATTCCCGGAACCAGCCGTCAGGATTCGGAGACAACAATCGGACTCTCACATGGCACTGCCTGTATCGCGCGAACAGAAACATCAATCATCGAAACGCCATGTCATGGTCCATTCAAAACATTTCGCCCGAAGTTCTGTGAATCCGGTGCGCACACCGACCCCCAAGCAAAATTCAGCAACAATCAGACCCCGAATGCCAAACAGCCTGAACACCGCTCATTTTGTCCAGACCTTGCAGATGGCTTCGGCAACGGCGCCTGGGGCCGCAGCTGGACTTTAGTTTAGGAC